TCCATAGATTTGAGGTCGATTCCATGTGTTGGTTGCGTTCCCTTGGCTTGGCTAGTGTGGTTAGGGTTCGATTGTGTGCGATAGTTGATTTCGTTTGTTATACTTGAGTAAACTGAATCCGAGCTCCTTACTTTCTTATATATAAAAGATTCTTTAATTTTTGCAGATTATGTTATTAATATCATGTTTGGATTCTGGCTTAAGTAACAACAATAACAAACCAAAAGTAAAACTAATAAATAAAATAAAATGAAGCTAGTCGTAAATTTTTATTTTTTATTTTTAAATTTAATATTTAAAATAACACAGTCAAGTACAGCTAAGCAAGTCCTCAATTGGATAAATATGTGGTCCAACAAGTACAAAATCAACTACTTTAGAGTGTGACAATCAACAAATATTAAATCAATATATAATCACTTTATGTATTTCTTTTTATTTAATACATCATATTTAAAACTTATTTCTATTTAAAATTTTATGTTAGATATTTTTATATTATAGGGGTATTAAATAAATATTTCCACCGTCAGAATTTTTATGCACTATGTCCGAATATAATTGTATTTCAATAAAATAAAATAATAGGTAAAAAATAAAGTGAAAGCATGATGTCAATTTATTAAAAAATTTATAAAAAAATAATAATATAAGTAAAAAAAATTAGCATCAAATTAATTACTATTATTTATTTAAATACGAATAATAAAATTACAAATATATAAAAGTTATTCACTGTGAATGAATTATATATATATATAAAATCTCACATAATTATCCGGATGAAATATTTTAATTATAAATTTTATTATTTCAAAATATCATAAATAAATAAGGGCAAATTATTTTTAGTCCCGTATCTGACCTCCTTTATCATTTTAAAGCTTTAAGTGGACATTGTCTGAAAATAATCCCGTAAGTAAATTTTTTTTACTAAATTGGTCATTTGGTGTTGGACTTTCTACGCTTACCCGCCGTTGCTGACGCGGCTGACATATCATCGCCACGAAGATGCCACGTCGAATTATTATTTTAGTGAAAAAATTTTACGATTATTTTCATATAAAGTCCATTTAAAAACCTAAAAATGATAAATAAGACCATATACTAGGTTTACCAATATATTTTATAAAATAAAATAAAATAAAAATTCTACGTGATGCTGACGTGGAATCTACGTGGCTATGATATGTCAATCGCGTCAATGTCTCGTCAGCAACGGCGGGCTAGCGTGGCGAGTCCAGCACCGGATGACCTTAGCGAAAAAGTTTACTTAAATAACTATTTTCAGATAAGATCCATTTAAAGTTTTAAAATAGTAAAGATAATTAGCTTAGGGACTAAAAATAACATTTTACTTCGTAAATAAATTCACAACTAAAAACACTTAGCCACCTCATTGCAGCGGTATCTCTTGGATCATTATATATATATATATGATTTTTTCAAAATCTTGTTATTTAATTTTTATAATTATTCATATAAAATTATACTATTTTCGTTGGAATTTTTATACTTCTTTCGTCCCGATTGAATTGACCTGTGATACGATATTTAAGGTAATGAGACTTAATTAATCAATAATATTGAATGAAAATATTATTATTATTTTTAATGCAAGTATGTTATAGTTTTAAAATAAGAATTAATATATATGATTAAAATAAATTTAAAATGTGCTAAAATATTTTAAATATTGTATATCAATAAAATATATGTAAATATAAATATCATTTTATATAGAATTCTAAATAATACAAATAATAAAAATATCTTTATTTATTTATAGTTAAGATAAATTAATTTTATATAAAAAAATGAGCAATTTTTAATATAGATGTGATGTTTTGAATATAAAATTAAATTTTAGTATAATAAAATAAATAAAAAATGAGTGTTTGAATTTTTTTAAATTGAGTAAAATAAATAAAAAATAAATAAAAAATGAGTGTTTAAATTGGGCCACCTGCAGACAACATCAACCAAAAATCTAAATATGCATCAACATTAACTACTATTAAATCTATTTTATTTATTTTTTTTTAGCACTGCACACATTGATTAAAATTATTTTGCATTGTTTAATTTTGCAAAGAACACTAAGGGTATACAAGTCATTTTACATCAATTTGTATTGTACACAAATATATAACAACGTGACAAACACTTTAAATTTATGCCATTAATAAATATTATTCCCTTCATCCCGCATACCGTGTCTGCTACACTGTAGACACAGTATTTTAGGAATTGTATAATTAATAGATAATTAAAAATGTATTAGTGAAAATAATTATCTTATAATATAAATAATTATAAATTAAGATTAAGGTAACTAATTAGTTTAATTAAAATTTTAAAAAAATAAAATTAAAAAGTTTAAAATAAGATTAAAATGTATAATCATTTTCCAAAAAATGAAAATGACATGGCATGTGGAACGGATAGAAACGGCAACGTGAACATGGTATATGGAATGGATGAAGTACTATTTATATCCCTGGTCCATAACCAATCTTGCATTTATTTGTGTAATAATTTTCTATTATATAAATATAGTAAAATATATTTAAAAATATATAATAAATATTTTTTTAATATCTACGTATAAAAATTTAAGATAATAATATTTTAATATAAATATTGAATCGATACAGAGTAAAATAATAGCATTATAATTAAGAAAGTGGTGATAAGTAAAAAATATAGCAAAATAATAATTATTTGTTAAATAAAATAATAAAATTATAGATAAATAATATTTTTAAATATATTTAAATTAAACATAAATTTAAGAGACAATAAAAAATTGACATAATTATTTCGAACAAAAAATAATATATACCATAATATTAATTTATTAATTAATTTTGTGTTCAAAGGTGTGAAAATACATTTTAAATAGGATAAGAAATTATTAAAAATTTAATAATACAAAAACTTTTTAAAGAAATAAAAATATTTTATTACAAATAAATAAAAAACATTTTAAGCATGGTCAATCCCAAAATCATTGGATAGAGTAGAGACAAAAGCCACGTGAGTTCATTGAACCCACCCACGTGCGCAGTTGTTTAATTTCGTATTACATGCGAAGGTTGCTCCTACCTGCCACGTGACCATAAAATAATGTATCATTATCATTATTATTATTATTATTATTATTATTATTATTATTATTATTACTCTGTTTGTCCATAATTATGTATCCGTTTGTCTTTTACATAAAATTTAAAAAATAGTAGTATTATATTGAGATATAGTAAGAATAAAGTAAAAATAACTAAAGTAACTTTACTAGTATTGTGTGATAAAAATGTAATGACATTTGTGTAATATATTATAAGTTGTAAGGGTATTTGTAATGTTAGGTAGATAGTACAATTACTAAAAAAAAAGAAATTGATACTTTATTATGGAACGGACTAAAATGAAAAAATTAATACTTTGTTATGGGACGAAGGGAGTAGTATTTTATTAATTAGTAGAAATATAAAAAAAATTTTAATATTTTTGCCATTTGATTTTATATATAAAGTACTTATATGTGTAATTATATATTTACAATCATACCGTTACTTTTATACAAAAAAAAATAATAAAATAAAGACAAAATTGATTTGGATTTGATATTAACACAATGTATAATGGATTATACTGTGAAATAAGAAAATGTATTTTTTAAAAAGAAAATTTTAGAATTTAAATAGTAAAAATTTATGGTGGATTTGTTTAGTGTTTTGATTTGAAAATTTTATTTTGATGTGAGATATAAAAAAATATATCGATAATATAAAAAATAATATTTTGTGTTGAATATTGACTTTCGTGAGAGAATAAAATATATATTTAAAATCTTGTCGGGAAAAAATAATTTATGTGAACAAAGTATTAGATTTGGAGTCAAAAGAAATAGTGTGGTTGTTAGTTTAAATAGTTTTATAAATATATCTCAATAAAAAAATATATGCAAATATTAATTTATAGATAATAAAATTTTTACACAATACAAATAAAAAAAATATGTTTATTTATAATTAATTTAAAATTAATTTTATAAAAAGTAAAAGTTCATAAAAAAAATATTTATTTATCAAAGATAATGGAGTGGTTACAATGCTGATTTTTCACATTAGCACGCCTTATATATACAAAGTATAACAGAGATATGTGTTGTTTTTTTTATAATAACAAGTGTGTTGTATACATGTATGTCATGTGCTAAAATTATCTGTTGCATGGACTATATAGCATGTGTTGTATTTGTATTATATTAATATAGACAATATGATGTCTACAGTAATATTGTTTGTTGTTGTATGTAGTAATATTTTATGATATTGAGACTCTAACATATCTTTTTTATTCATATGTTGTATTTGTATTATATTAACATATAGAGTTTGTTGTTTGTAGTAATATTATATATTATCTAATAGCACGATGTGTTGTTCAGCACATAAATATAAAAATAAAAAAGTTTTGAATGAATCTTACCCATAAAATATTAAAAAAATAATTAAATTAATTTATATTTATTAATTATATTTAAAATGAATAAATTAAAAAAAAATAGTGGCTATTTACCTCGGAAGAGAGAGTATTTGTTCTCTCTATTGTTTTATTCAACACATTTTTTCAAAAATTTAATTCATTACACGCATTCATTATTCTCTTCTCCGTTCTCCCGCTCGTGTAATTTGTCTTTATTTTTTATTTTCGTCCCCCCATGTAATTTGTCATTTTTATTTTTAAAAATATGATTATACAGCATTTTAAATTTAAAATTTTTATAATTTTAATTAAAAAATTATCTTAATTTTAATTTATAATTATTTTTACTGATATATTTTTTAATTATTTATTAAGTATATTTTACTTAAATTATCTTATGTACATGAATAGACACTGATACATGGGACGAAGAGTAATATTTTCTATAACGTAAAAAAAAAAAAGGAAAAAAGTTTCTTGTAAAACAATGTACCAAACAAACAGAAACTGGGTGAGATTCTGTGATGGGAGGATCCCACCGTCCTGATATTCGTCTTTGCAAAGCCAATTAGCCATTAAATGCAGAAAAACAAAGGACCTGGCGTCTCCCTTTTATTTTGTCAGCTATTCTCTTCTCTATGGTACTACCAAATAATGGCGTCTGCCCAAGTTAATGTTTCCAACCGTTCAAAAGAGATCTGGTCACATATCGAGGGAGAGCCACGGGTCTATATCTACCGGAGGACCCACGTTCCGCTGAGTTGAAAACGGTGGGTTTGACCTGAAAAGGGCCAACAATGGCGGAGGAGAATGCGACGCCGCTAATCGTCAAGCACGACTATCGTGAGGATTGTGAGGCCTGCAGGATCGAGCTTGCTAAGGAAACCGGCCATGGAGCACCTTACAAGATCTTATTCAACGTCTGGATTGTCACTCTTGCTGCAGGTGAGTGCTCGGTTCGTTTTTGCCATTTTTTTAATTTTGTTTTTGTACTTCGTTATGAAGTGGTGAGTTTCGTTAGGGTTTTTGTTTTTGATTTTTTGTTGTTGAGTGGAATTGGCGTTTGTTTCGGCGAATATGACTTTACGTGAAGGAGAAACTCAGAAACATGCTCGGAATATGGTCGATTGATCTCCTGAACAAACTTTGTGACTTTTTAGGTTTAGCCGAAAATCGTGTTCTACTTTTGTTCTGTCTAATTTCTGAAAAGTTGATTTTGATGGTTGGCGTAGAATTGGTTATGGAAGGAGACATGGTGGGCAATTGATGGGCACAGTTCGGTGAATTGACTGTTCATGTCGAAGTCATCTAATGTGTTCGTCATTTAGTCCCTAATGAATTGTAAAAAGTGGGCCAATCAGTGGATATGCATTTCACTTTCTTCCATTCTGCACTTTTCCTGATGATGGTTCTTGTTATCCATGTTGCTTTTCAGTCGGTTCCATCTTTTAATGTTTGGATTCTCTTCTATTTCGAAACACAAGAACATACTGTAAAAAAAAAAGTGTAAAATGGATAGCTATGTAACATATCTTTTGTTTGAGGGAATTCGAGGGCCCAATTGACATAAATGATCGATTTGAGGGACTAAAAGAAGTGTTCATTTGGTCACTGTGTTTGATTTGTAAGGACTTTCTGAAATAGGAAGATCGTTGATTGCTTAGCTAATTGAAGAATTTTGTTTAGAAGTTGACTTAGAATTATGTGTTGAATGTTTTGAAACTGTTCTTCAATTTTTTAGGAGTGTTTATAATTCCCTTTTGTATGATTTTACTTGGATTCTAACGGCTGGCTTGATCTGGTGTTTTTGACAGCATTGCCAATATCGTCGCTCTTCCCTTTCCTTTATTATATGGTAACGATGCTCTGACAACTCTGATCTTTTCTTCTGTAAGTATATCAGCATATTCATGTTATGTAATGTTGATGAAATGTGGTCAAAGTGATCTAGTATCGATCCCAATAGACATTTTAATTTCTTCCATTCGGCAGCAAATGTATTTCAGTTTTAGCCTCGTCAGTTGGGTTGAGCATTGGGGTTTTTTTGGGTTATGTTATACCAGTCAGGTAGCCAAAAATTTGATTAGAAGTTCTTTCGGCTAAACTGTTTACCCGGCCCTGACAACTTAGGTACCCAAATTTTTGAGCACCGCATACCACATTACTAACTTAGCCGTAGGGTGCATAAACTATTAGATGTGAACGCCTTACGCTTACGCTACCCATTGGCACTGTTTGGGGTCGTTTTAATCGTCAATATTTATTTATTTTAAGATTTTTTTGTACAACTTTTGAGTCGAATGAAGCATTGTCATGAAGATTGTTAATTGGTTATATCTTTTATTAATCAAATTAGTTACACTTTCAGGTTAGGGACTTCCATGTTGCAAAGAGGGAGGAAGATATAAGTTACTATGCTGGATATGTGGGTCAGTCTCTTCGCTAACATTTTTCTTATCATATACTTTCTGATTGATTAAGTTCTTGTCCAACATGCATCAATTGTTTTTTTCGAAGGATCTTCATTCATGCTTGGAAGAGCTTTGACTTCTCTTCTCTGGGGAGTGGTGTCCGATAAATATGGTCGGAAACCAGTAATACTTTTTGGCTCAATGACAGTGTGCGTATCAGTGGAGCATTCAGTCCTTCTGGCAATGAAAATTTGCTGTCGTTATCTTCCCTCTTATGTAGTTTCTTATTTTTTTTTTTTTTGCCTCTTGGATTTTTCAGGGTTATATTCAATACACTTTTTGGTGTTAGCGTAAACTTATGGATGGCAATTTCTTCAAGATTCCTCTTGGGAAGTTTGTGTGGAATGCTCGGTCCTCTGAGAGTAAGTTTGTAGGCACAAAATTTATCTCATTCCTTGAACCTCATTTTTGCTCTTTTATATCCATTTTTGGAGTAACACTGGACACTCCACTCCATTTTTGGAGTGGAGTTTGTGTGATATTTTTGTGGTGTTTGTGTATTTTTGTTATTTTTTGGGGTATATTGTATAATTTTATTTTTTATAAAAATGAGATGTAATTTTATTTTTTAAAAAAATTATGTATAATTTTATTTTTTGGAAATTGATATAATTTTATTTTTTTAAAAATAATGTATAATTTTATTTTTTAAAAAGTGATATCATTTTATCCTGGGAAAAGTGATATATAATGTGTAATTATATATATAGGTTATATTGTAAAAATAAATTAAAGTTGGGGTGTAATTTATAAATATAAAAAGTTATATAAAATAATATAAAAGAAGAATATATGGAGAATATTTTTTTAGAGTGAAAATTGAAGTTTATGGTTGGAGCAAAATTACCGCTGTATTTTTACTGTAGCTACTGCAAAAATGAAGTAATGGGTTGGAGATGGTCTTAAAGTGAGAGTATATACATCTACAAAATCCAGTTTCTGGCCATTAAGATATTTGCATTTTTATTTTGTTTTAGTTTTTGTAATTTCTCTTTATTGTCAATATATTATATGCAAATTTTTGGTGATGTCAGGCATACGCTTCTGAAATTTGTCGTAAAGAGCATCAAGCATTGGGGATGTCAGTCGTGAGACATCTGATCTTTTCTCAATATGTGTTTATCTTTTCATAACTCACCATCTTCATTCTCATTTTTTAGTAACCATTTTGTATTATGGAATTATAGATTAGCACATCCTGGGGCATCGGCTTGGTGATTGGTCCAGCTGTTGGAGGTTTTCTTGCACAGGTAATAGCTCCTCCTCTCACATTCATCTTTTGAAGATTGCATGTTTTGAGTTATGTAAAATGGTGGATCAAGGCATTGAAAGAGAATTATTGTCGAGCCCAAGGTCCCATTAAATTAGACAAAGAGCATATCCTTGGAAGGCCAAAACGCCCTGCTTATTTAAAAGAAATCATGTTTAACTCTAAGAACTTCTGTAGCCTACCAAATACTTATCGTCACTCTGTTGTGAACTCCAACAACTGAATTGAAGCTTAGAGTTAATTTTAATCTTGGCATGCCCGATGTTTATTTTGATTGAAAGTTTCATATTATTGCACTTGTGCTGATTGTTTGATATTATTCTATGTTTAGCAATAAACGGCTACTCTAACCATACCCTTGACTTTGTGATCTTAGCCTGCAGAGAAGTATCCCAATATATTTTCTAAAGAATCGCTGTTTGGGAGGTAAGCTTTGCGACAACGCCATCAGTTCTTTCCATCTGTGTAATTTTCTTTTCACTCTCATTTTGCAAGGCTCACCTGTCAATGTAGGTTTCCGTATTTGTTACCTTGCATTGTGATATCAGCCTATGCTCTACTGGCATTCATTATCTCATTCTGGCTTCCGGTACGTTCCTCTAATTCCTCTAACCCGTGTTTTTCAGTTTCTTGCGATGTTTATTGGTTTCAGCCAATAGATATTATTTTTTCTGTATCTTTTCCTTTCTTATCTACCACCCATATCTTTCAAAAAAAATTTATTCATGCACCTAAGCTGAAAATGACACTTTATGAATATGAAATGAATGTTTAATCTTCTTGAAAACAACACTGTTTGACTTTTTAGCTTGCGTGCTAACTGAAATAAGCCTATTATATACTCCATTTGTCATACAAAAAAATAGAGGTTGATTTTTCTTATTTGTCTGTCATAGAAAATAGACATGTCTCTGTTTTTTTTTACTAAAAATCATACTATTTTTACCATTTTTTTAAACATTTTTCTACTTTCCTTGATACTATAAAAGTTAAAAAGTATACACCATATCAATGAACCTATTTTTACATGTCGGAGGAAGTAGTTAAGAATTGTGCTTTTGCATTGAACACAATAAAGGGACAATCTTCGTAGAAGTAGAAAATTGAGTATAATTTACTAAATAATTATCGTGGAATTCTAAAGCTAGCAAGAAATATTACAGATCATCATATTTTTAAGATAACCTTCTGTTTAGTTCTCCTTGGAAACCGGTACCTACATCGAATGTGTATCCATGCCAAATGTCAGTAATGAATATTTGCTCTACTGCTCTATACGATTTTCGGACATGTAATGTCAGTGCGTGATCGCGTTCATTTCTCTACTTGATGTAACTGAACGCAGGAAACTCTTCATCGTCATCACGACGAAGACACAGAAGAAGAAGAAGAAGCTGCATTGGTTGGATTGCAGAACAGTTCTAATAAGTCCAGTCCATCGCTGAAACACTCGGTTTCTACCCTCAAGTTTTGTATCCCTCAACCGAGCCTCTTGAGAAACTGGCCCTTAATGTCTTCCGTATTAGTGTATTGTGTTTTCCAACTTCACGATATGGCCTATACTGAGGTAAGATCTTTTTCCCGCCCTCAATCATTTTATCAGCTAAAATTTTATCTAAAATCGAACACCACAACAATCTTTAGTGAAGTACATTTTGTTTGGTTAACTTTTTTCTCCAGATATTTTCTCTGTGGGCCAACAGCTCAAGGAGGCTTGGGGGGCTAGGTTTCAACACAGACGACGTTGGTGAAGTTCTTGCCATCTCAGGTACACTTCTTTTTGAAAAACTACGCCCTTACCTTTGAAGGTGAGCCGTTAGATTTTGATTGATATAACTAATGCTTGCTTTGATCATTCAGGGTCTGGTTTGCTAATCTTTCAGCTCTGCCTTTATCCTTGGGTAGAGAGTATAATCGGACCTATCATGGTTTCTCGTATTTCAGCTGTACGTCATTCATAAAACCCGTACATTCGATCAGATCCTCCTGTTTCTTGCTCTGCTGCTGTAATCTCGTTTCTTTACAGGTCATTACGATACCATTGCTATCGAGCTACCCCTTTATAGCCAAATTATCGGGCATGGCTCTCTTCATTGTGCTTAATTGCGCTTCCCTGTTCAAGAACGCTCTCTCTGTAAGTTCAAGTAAAGTTAGATGATTCTTGTCGATATATTTTTCGCTTATGTGCAGAAAGATTTCCTTTTTATCTTTGAGTTGGACCACCTTATCTCATACTATGCTCTCTTTTATATTTCTAAAAGAATTTATTCAACAATTGTTTGTCAATGATGAATGAAGCTACCTTATTTTAGTCCACTGGATCACAAATTGTTACGATCTGTTTACGCCCTTTCACGGTTATCATTACCAGGTGTCAATCACGACAGGGCTGCTGGTTATCCAAAACAGCGCGGTGGTAAGCTTCTCATTTTCTGTTAAAATTTTCTTTTTACGATTCATCAAGATTGAATTGATACCGATATATATATATATATGACTTATTACAGTCTCAAGAACACCGAGGAGCTGCAAATGGCATATCCATGTCTCTTATGTCTCTTGCTAAGGCAGTTGGACCTGCCGCCGGGGGTACTTTGTGAGTCACTTTTTTTCACTTACAAATCCCTGAATCTGTACCTTGTAGCCTAACTGTTTCTGATTACAAAAATCATCAAAACCATAGGAATCATGTCTCATTTTTTAAAACATTGTTGTGTATTTCAGGCTCTCTTGGGCTCAAAGCCGTCTGGACGCAAGCTTTTTGCCAGGTAAATTTTGTAAATTACGATATGTTGTTTTGGCGAAAGATATATATAACTGGGTCCATTAGAAACACATTATTTCAATTTTTAATCAATTCGAGCCTTTAATTTACAACTCAGAATCGTTCTTTATTTTGATCGAATTTGAGTTCCCGGTTTTTAGTAGTGTTTAACATGATTGCTCCTACGTATCCATTTCTTTCCGTCTCATTTTATTCTCTAGTAAAAACCATCGTTTGCTCTTCAGTTTTAGACACCGTGTGCGCGCAATGTTGCTATACTTTTTAGTTAAGTAGATGTGCTCGATAAGATTATGTTCTTTCTTTTCGACACCGAGCAAAAAGATTTTATTTGCTAATGAAAAACATTGTTTGCTCTTCGGTTTTATACACCGTGTGCGCGCCCAATGTTGCTACACTTTTTAGTTAAGTAGATGTGCTCGGTAATATTATATCGTTCTTTTCGACGCTTAGCTAAAAGATTCTATTTGCTAATGAAAAACATCGTTTGCTCTTCTGTTTTATACACCGTGTGCGCGCGCGCGCGCGCGTGATGTTGCTATACATTTTTAGTTAAGTAGACATGCTCGATGAGATTATATTTGTTCTTTTTAACACCGAGCAAAAAGATTTTATTTACTAACGAAAGACATCGTTTGCTCTTGGTGTTATACACCGTGCGCGCGCAATGTTGATATATTTTTTACTTAAGTAGAAATGCTCGATAAGATTTGGTTCCTTTCGACGCTGAGTTACAAAATGATTCCTCGACTAAACCCTCACCTTGTTCCGGCACTCTACTTGAATGCAGGGGTGCACGTCGTTTTCTTCTTACTGAATGTGGTTGAGTTTGTCGGGTTGGCTATGACCTTCAAGCCGTTCTTGACGCTTCCTCCGGCCGTTGCCGCCGATTCCTAAACCTCTTGGTTTGGAGGTATGTTGCTGTGTGTGGTCTGGTCTATTCTATTTCATTTCTACATATACAACGTAACGTAGCTGAGTGAGAATATATTCATTCCTATTCTATCTTCATTTCCTCTACTTCAGAATCAATATTTACAATTTACATTGCTGTCTGTGGGCACTGTTTCCTTTATTTTTTCTTTTTATTTTTAATATAATGTAGTACTATTCCTTTTCAATTAGCAAATTATACTAGTATTTTTTTTATTTTTTTATTTTTTTTTAATTATGACGTAGGAATCCGCAGCCGCTATCCGAAAAAATACGCACGGGTAAACCTCCGGCCTAACCTAATACTCTGCAAATTAGGCTCGATTGGCAAGTCACACTAGGCGAACAATGTGTGGCAGATGACATGACCTGAAGCGTAGCGGGTTTGAAATTTTGTGATATAATTTTGAAAATTTGAGATATAAAAGATTAATATTTGATTTGATATTTTATGAAAAAAAAAAATTTATTTTGTAAAAAATTATACTCCATAGTTTCATTTTAATTATTATTATTTTTTTCATTTTTGCTTTGTTATATTTTATTTAACATTTTTTAAAAAAATTTAGTAAATTTATTAATATTATGTAGGATTCAAATAAAATCTCGTTTTTTTTCTTATCCTTTTTCAACCCTTTTAATTATTATTATTTTTTATTTTTTTACCTTGTTATTCTCTTTTTAATGATTGAATATTTTATTTATATCTAACATTTCTTATTCTTTTAATAAAATTAGTTTATATTAATTTTCAAATAAATTAAAATATTTTTTTTAAATTTAATTGTATTATATAGAATTTTCATTTTTACATATTAAATATACTGTATATATTTTATTGACGTTATAGGATTTAAAATATTTAAAATTATATTCTAAATTCGTTTTAGTTATATATTTTATTTTAAAATATAAATATCATTACTCACATAAAAAGTAAATAAACTAATATTCATGTCACCAAGCAATTGGGGTGGAAATAGGTCGGGCAGGGTCAGGCTTTGGCTAAATAGGCCTAGCCTGTTTTAAAAATATCTAGCTTAAGCCTGGCTTGTAGTCTGAAAAAAATTTGTAAAAGCCTGAACTTGGCCTTTTTAAAAGCACTTGTAAGCCTATCTAAAAGACTACAGAATATTTTTGTTTATTTATTTATTTACAAATTTAATATTAAAAATAAAAAATAAAGTACATACAATTATTTTATATATATAAATATTCAAAAATTTATTTTTTATAATAAATTTATAATTAAAATTATTTAATAAATATTATTATTAAATAGAAAGTTATTTTTAATATATAATAAAAATATTATATTTTATAAAATAATAATAATAATAATAAATAGGTCGACTTTTTAATTAAAACAACTTTTTTTTTTAGCCTAAACTTGTTCTATTTAAGTAAAAATGCTTTTAAACAAATTTTGACCTGCTCTTTTTATTAAATAAATCAGGACAGGCTAGGCTAGACAGTAGGCCCGTGACAGGCGGTTTGGCCTATTCCCATCTCTACCAACCCAAAGCGTCAACTAAGATGGATGGACTTCCTCCGTCATAGAACAATTGACTCATTTAATTAATAACACGATAATTAAGATAATTAGTTAATGATAGTGAATTATGATTAATTTTGTTTTTTTATTATTTCAAATCAAAATCAACACTATTTATTTGACACAATTTTTAATAAAAATACATTATTTTCTCTTACAACATATCATATCAAGATATTCTTCAAACAAAACACTTCATTTCAAATCAATTTTAAACTACACCCAAATAAATATATATTTTTATTTTTATGTAATTAATATTATAGGTAGTTTTAAAAAAAATTTAATATATATGATTAAAAAAAATTAGAACATGTATTTAAATCTTTTAAAAATTATATCATAATAAAAAATAATATGCAATATGAACATTATTTTGTAGAATAATTTTTTTTATGATGGATTTTAAGTTAATCCTACATGATTTATGATGACGTTACATAGTTAATTAAATTAATCTATATTTTTTCCGTCCCAAAACAACGGGGATATTTGAGATTGACACGAGAATTAACGAATAGTATTATATTGACAGTGTAAAAGTATTTCTAAAAGACAAAAATGTCCATACTCTATAACTCCCTCCGTCCCTCAACAAACTATCCATTTTTTTATTTTGGTTCGTCTCATAACAAAGTATTCATTTTTTTTAGTAACTATACTGTCTACCTAACATTACAGATACTCTTACAACTTATAATATATTACACAAATATCATTACATTTATTCCCACTATATCCCAATATAATACTAATATTTCTAAATCTCTATGCAAAAAGCAGATAGATAGATAGATAATTATGGGACGAACGGAATATAATTATTGTGAAAAAATGAGGATAATTTCGTAAAATTGTAAAAAACTTGTTACCAAGAATGAAAATAAAACTATTGTTTCAGGACTAATAAAAATAACAAAATGAGACTATTATTTTAGAACGAAAGGTGTATTTGTTAAATATATTTTAATTTAATATATTTTATAAAAAAAATAAAAAATAAAAATAAAAATCACTTGATATAGAACTGACAGAGAAAAATGTCAGAGCGGAAGAAATATATTAATACAATGAGGGAGTATATTTTAATTTAAGCAGCCCAATTGCATAGAGATTACTGTGAGTTACAAATTTACTAATATTTAATTAAACTCCTTCTTTCCATATTTATTTCACATTACTCCTTTTGTCAGTCTCATTTTACACACCCCAACAAAACCATTATTTGCATCTGCACCCATAGTGAAGAACAAAGGAGAAATTAGTTCACAATCATGGCATAAAAGAAGCAGCAGCAGCAGAAGATCAAGAGAGACGAAGCGAAGATCGATTCAATGTCCATATAAAAAGGAAAAGAATTGAATTGTATTGTATTGCTCAAATCCATGTAGACAGAAAAATGGCGAATCCCAGAAGAACCTCCTACGCCTCCAACCTCCCCATTTCCGAACCCTTTCCGCAATTCCAATCTCCGGCCGCCGCCCAATCCACGGCGGCGACGCTCATCACCTCCGCCAAGGTATTCCTCAAAAAGCCCCACGCCTTCCCCTTCCTCCTCTCGATCTTCCTTCTCCTCACTTGGATTTCTCTCCGGCTGCAACACGCCTCCGGCGATTCCGCGTTTCACCGCTCTTCGGCGGCGGCGTCGTACGGTACGAGCGCCAAGGACGTCGGCGGCGGCGGCGGCGACGACGGTCATTTTAGGGATTCCGATGCCAACGCAGTGAAATTCTCCGCCTCGTCTTCTATTGCGATGAAGGATAAGCGTGGGTGGTTGGTTAATCCGATTACTCTCGCCATGGATTTTGATATTCAAGGTTTGAATTCTTACCTGCGTTTCAATTTTTCGATGTGAAGGAGGCGAATTTTGATGACGTGTGCCCTAGTTTGTGGATTTGGGGATATGGTACTACTTTCACTGAGCAATGTACAACTGCCTGAAGCTGTTTTGTTCTTGACTGATGAATTCTGATACATTGCTGTTTCCTATTAAGTTGAGTAAAGTTTAGGCTGTCTGTGTGATTGTGTTTTGGAATGATTTTATTTTATTTAATTTTTATATGTGAAATAGGTTTCGAAGATTTTATTAAATGTAAACAGTTGTTGAATTTTATGCTTTGATTGGAAATGTGATAATTTTAGAGAAAAAACATTCAGGTGCATATTCATAATGCCATAGTATGAAAATAAGGTTGAAAGCACAAAGCAACACTCACTTATAGTGTTTTTTTGTAGTTTGTATGAATTATTTTGTTTGGTTTTGATTTGAAATTGGAGTGGTGATTTGAATTTTTATTTAAATAGTATTTCGAACTTGATGCACAAATAGATAGAATAGCAGCAAATAGCATCTTTCTAGCCTGCAAATTTATATGATATTTTGTTAGAAAAAATATTATATTTTTATTGTGAACAATATAAATATGGAATAGTGAAATTTCTTTTATTTGAAATAAAAAAACAAACGCACCTCTAGTGTGTTTATAGTCTTAAGTGTTGGGAGGTGAATTTTGTGTTTGTTTTGTTAAATAGTATTAAGGGTTCCATTTACTTTTTGCGTGTTGAATATTAATTATTATATCAAAACGTAGTATAAATTAAGAAAAAATTGTAAAAATACTTCAATTAGTGTCTTATTAAGAAAATTTATACAAAATATTATACAAATATAATGATATTTTTAATGTTAAGTACAATGACGCGAAAGGTAAATGGGGCCCTTAGAGGCGGACGGTGGGAGTTTTTTTTTTTTAAAAAAAAAAGGTGTGTTTTTTTCACAAAAAGAACACATAGGGAAGTACTAAAGGAAATCATGCATTGTGTATTTTTGTTGACTTTTATTATTATATGTATGCATTGTATTCTTTTGGGTAATATTTCTGAATAATCATGTCACTAAACACTATGTAAGCACACTCGTAGTTTTCAACTATAATTTTTTAAGGCCATTTGGTTGGATGGATCTAGATTTGAGGGTAGATTTGAAATGGATGGATGTGAATTAACTTGGATTTGAAATATTTCTTTATTCGGTTTTAAGAAGTATTTGAAATGATAGTATTTAAAATGTTGAAGGGCATGCAATTGAAATCTGCATCTAACTTTCAAAGAGTATCCATTTGAAATACCCAAATAGAGCCTTGTGTATTTCAGTTATAATTGATTGTGAAAAGGCTAAGGTTTTGCAAACATGGCTGTAATATGTGTTCTTGAATTGTTATTTTGTGGAATTTTTTTCATGGCTCCGTTGTAATTTGAAAAGCTAGCGATTATCATTTGAAGTATTGTTATTGAACTTGGTTAACTAGCATGCTGATAAATCGATAATGACAAATTGGATTGGAAGTTTGATTTGTGGCGTGTGTGTTAAAAGGGTTTAAGAATCCATTTTTCTACTGGCTAAAATTACTTAAATTTGTATGTTCCTACCCAATTTGATGAATTACCCTCTTTGCTTCTCAGCAGATAGAGATACATGTTGACCTAATTTCCATTCTTCCTTTCTCTTTTTCATTTTTTCTCGGTTTTTTGCACGTAAGTTTTCTGTCCACTAATTGGTTTTTTTTTTAATAAGATAAATGCCGATATTTATTATCGCCTTTTGCATCTCCTCAGAAGTAAAACAGCATTTTTTGTTGTGCTTTGCTAGGTCTAGATAAGTTACATGAAGAAAACGGCATATTTTTACATTGTTGACCCCGAATTCTTCTCAATGAGGTGGAGTTTGGTTTGCAGGTGGGGCGGTTTCGTGTGCGTCAATTCATGTCGGAGAGATCCAACCAGGAAAGATGAGGGGAAACCACAGGCACCATACTTCCAACGAGACCTTTCTAATATGGGGAGCCAATACTGTATTTAGGGTAAGAAGCTTTCTCCTTTGTAGAAAATATAAAACTGTGAATCCCGAATACTTGACCTTATTGCATGAGCATGTGTGTTTCGTTCTATGTTTTTCGGGTTATTAATTTGCCTACCATATGCATTCTAGAGCCTATTATTGCTGCATTTTGAAGGTGTTTTGGAAGAGCATATCTAAGTTGTCGAATAAAATAGGTCATTTGAATTACGGGTAAATGAGATTCTGACAGTTTAAAAGTTAGTTCTTAGACAGCTGAGAAGTTCTATTGGTTCGATGGATGTAGAAATTTCATGCTTTCTACCGGAAACATCTTTTAAGAACTAAATGAAGGCCTTGTATAGTAAAGATTTTAGTTTATACCTTTGGTGCAATGATTTTGTATGTTGTTTTCTTCGGTTGAACATATGTAACTACATAAAATGATTTTATATTTAAAAGGCTCGTCTATATCTTTGATGATGAGTATAGTTACAATGATATAGCATGTTACGATATGCTGTCAGTTTATATTTTACATGTGTTGTGTTAATATATCGTTTGTGCTTAAATAATTCATAGTACGTAATGATGTGACTATGTCATGTGATAACAATTCATATTTCGTGTTTTATTTAATTTGTTTTATGTTAGTTATGAAAAACTGTATCCTAAATATAAAAAAGAATATTTTTATTGAATTGTTAATTTTTTTATATTATATAACGGCGGGCGGTTATTTGATCAAATTTACTAACATGAAATAGCTAGTATTTCATTACAAGGCAGATAGTATATGACCAAATTAGCACACTAATTTGAATCAACGAGGGTGTGTTTGTTTGTGGGTTTTGAGTTTGAATTTATGAATAGTAAAAAGTTGAATTTGAATAGTTACTTTAATGTGATATAAATAGATGTTGATGTGATATTTTGAATGTAAAATATTTTTGTAGTATAATATAAAAAAGGAAAAATAATTATTTGATTTGATATTTTTTTAAGAAAAAAAGAATCTGAATAGTAAAAAACTATGTTAAAACTTACAAAAGAACACAACCTTAGTATTTTATAGCAATGCAAAGAAATATTCTTTGTTATATAGAAACATGTATTGTGTTATATATTGTGTTGTATTTAATATTTGGTGTGTGAGTTATATATTATGTTGTGTTGTATTATCAGAGTCTATTATGCTACTATCAAAATATGTTTTATATATTTTATTAATATGTGTTATTTTCTTGATGAACATGTATGATGAATATTTGATCCAAACAACACGGTAACCGATACTATATATTTGATATGAATATATATTGTAGTTTTTATAATACTAATTACTTGTATTGTTTGTTATTTTTGTATTTTTATTGTTTTGATATTTCCGAAGTGAAATAATTATTATGCGTGATATTTTATATCGACAATAAGCAAATTCTTGCATATATACATTTCGACATTCTACTCTTGAATTTCATGTTCGAAAATCCATATTCTAATTTTGGAACTCAATTTCTTACAGCTCGAAAACAAGGCTGCGAAAAAAGGATACTCAGAGATGGTCATTAGCGCAGATGAAGTTATAGTCGGAGCCAGCCCACGCGGCACTGCTCATGCTATGGTGAACATTGATGCTGAACGAACGACGTATTTCTTGGGCTGTCAAGACAACATAGTAAATTACAATGACAACACAACTGACTTTAAGGTTTGGAAAGATCTATAGCTTTTCTTTGTTCCTTTCTTACCTTAGATATAAATATCGAAGCTATGATTGTTGTCGACCAGATGGTATAGCTGAAGTTCCTGTTTATAATACACTTCTTTTCTTTTTGTAAATCTTTGCGCGATCCCTTTGGCATTTTTTTGATCGATAGTAACATTCTTAGAGCAAGGGAAATGAGCTATGATCGACCGATGATCGTGATAGCAAAAATTCGGGGAAAAGTATATAGGAAAAAAATTATTTTTAGCACTCTAAGTATTCACTTTTTATTGATTTTATTAATTAGCAAGGTTCTTGTGTTTATTCAATATTTTTTAGTGACATAATCGCTAATGAACATTATAGGAAAATTTAATATATATATATATATATTTGCACAATATATATAATATGTATTCTAATCATTTTAAAAAATAATTTAATATAAAATCTTTTTTATATATAATATTATGGTCATTGTACTTAATATTAAAAATATTTTTATATTTGTATAATTTTTTATACAAATATCACCATATTAGTATTATCATAAGATGCCTTTTTCTCTTAATTTGTATTAAAAAATCAACATGAGAAAAGTAAGTACGTCCCTTAGAGGCGGACTCGGACGGAGGAATTATAGAAAAATACATCCATAGAAATTACAAAATAAATATTCCGTTTTATCTGATTTCTTTTTTCCTTTTCAATTTCTTTACTATGCAATTCATAAGTATTATGACTGTGTTTTGTGAAGATTGTTAGAAAGAAATTTCTTTTATGTAAAGTATAAAAAATTATGTAAAAAATATAAAAATAATAAATGTATGTACGTATTAATTTTATTGGGAAAACTTATGAGAAAAAAATATTAAGAGAACAAAGCATATATTTAAAACTTATTGTCTGTTTAAAATATTATATACTCCCTCCATCCGAGCTAACGTTAATAAAATAAAATAAAATAATGTGACACCTATAAAAGAAAATAGTAACAAATTAGTTATCTAAATTGTGCATAAGTTTAACTAACAAAAAATAAAAAAAAAACTTGATGGACAATATAACCTATTTTCTGTTAAAAACTTGACATCCAAATCTTGTTGCTATGAGCCAAACAACCACACAATCCATTCAACCAATGGTCATTAATAAAACTACAGAGAAAATGTACATAGACAAGGAGCTCGGCCAACGGAAAATCGAGCGCCAAAGGCAACGGCCAACGGAAAATCGAGAGCACCGTTACTGTTCCCGTTGGCTGCTGCCTAACCTTTCAAGTGCAAACATGGCAAAACAAACGAAAAGAAAAACTAACCTAAGCTTCTTGTAATAAACCTACACAATAAATAATAAGTCATAGCGGCGCTGAACTTGTTCGGCGCAGTTGATTCTTGGGCTGCTGCGGTGGCGGGATGCAAGGCAACGCTTTCTCCAATTCCTTCGGACAAAGAAAAGAAACAAATTATAGAGAAATGTACTTCTGTAATAATATCAAAAGATGTGGAATTTTTACTATTTATGAAAAAGAAATTTTCTAAAAATATCAAATCAAACGTCTAAAAATCAAATTTATATGTAAAGCATCAGAACAACGTTTATTTATATCATTAAACAAACCCCTAAACACACACACCTTAAGTGTCCGTTTACTAGGTGATATTTTTTTTAGCCTTTTTATTATACAACAATTGCGATTTCTATAAATGAATTTATTATTTCTTCTCACAAAACATCATATCCAAACAACTGTTCAAACCAAAAACAAATCAAATAAAACACACTATAGATGTATGTTTCATTCTTGTATGGGTTTGCCCCTCCAAGCCCTCGAAGATTCTATGCAAACACTCAACACACCGAATGCAAATATCCAAAGATTCAATGGTTCTTTGACAATGTTCAAAGTCGTATTTGAATTTGTTTTTATCCATCCGGGGAGTATCCTTATCACAACTAACACACATAGGAGTTCGGTTAACTACACAAATCACATATTACTAGTAGAGTCAACTATTTTTTAGTCTCCTAATTGGACTCCTCTATTATTTTAGTCTCGTTATTGGAGGCTGTCTTAAAATAATCCCATAAGTAAATTTTCCGCACATTTAGACTTTCGGCGCCGAGGATGCTTGCGTGTCTTAAAATTATCCACGTGTCCGCCAAATAGCACTGACATAGGGACACATGTCATCCGGCATGCCACACAGGCATCTTCAGCGTTAGAGAATTAAACGTGCAAAAAAAATTCACTTATAGGACTATTTTAAGACAACTTCTAATTACTGGACTAAAATGTTTACAGGACTAAAAAAACAGTTTACCTTTACTATTACTATTATGCATGTTCTTCTAAGTTTGAATGTAACACATTTCTTCTTTCATGTAACTCAAGAACCAAAATTTACTTCCAATAGTGATATGAACATTCTTGCATGAACTCATTCAAATCAAAATTTCAAACCATCATTGAACTTTTGTGGGCATCAAAATTCAAAGTTAGAACTCTAACTATGATTATATAGAAGAAATTGGAATAGACAACAAAAATCAATCACTATCGCCACAAAATCGTATAATTTTGAATTCCTAATGCATATACTATCACACCATCTAATCTTCTCATGTTATCATTTCAATGTTAAAAATATTTCTCAAAGAACATTTTATAGTCTTATGAACTATTTTTTCTCTATTCTCCGTTGCTCTATCTCTTCCATAAAATATTGTATTTGATCAAAATCTAAATGACTAAACATTCACAAACTAAAAATGAATAAAGCAATACTACATACACTATTCATAAAAATTGTCGAACAAAAACACATTTTAATTTTCAAACATCAAAGTCGATAGCATAAAATTAAGGCAAAACTTGGTTTAATTACACTTCCACTTTCATCCAACTATGCGACAAATTACAAAGTCGATGCCACAATGATTACATATACTAAAATTCAACAATTGTTAACTATCTTCATAAAGAAAAACTGACATCCTAAACAAAAGACAGAATTTAAAAGCAATTATATATCTTATATTTGATAACGTAAATGGACCACAAAAGATTGTATGGTGTTCAATTTCCACAACATTCTTGATAAACATTTAAAGAGTTCGTTTGGTCGTGTTTTCAACAATTCATTTTTACTATATACATCTACAGTAGCTTTTTTTTTTTTCTCTAAAAATCATGAACATCATGCACCTATTTTTCATTCATACATCACATACAAAATTTATCTTTTATTCAAAAGATCATATCAAACAAATTTCAATTCAAAATCTTTACTATTTTAAGAAACACACCAAACTACCAAAACCCGACCAGACAACACTTTAATTTTTTCGAGATTTTGTTTGAATTTCTATTATGCGTATCAATTGCTCATTCTTCCATGACTTACAGGGCAAATACTTTTTGCCTGAAAACAAGAATATCATAACTCTTTCATCAATGATGAAACTGAAATCTTGCTAGAAAATAGTTCGTCGGTTATCAAGTGCTGCAAAAAATAATACTTTTAGTGCTGCAATTTGCATTTCTATTTAAGTCTCATCACATGACAACATTTAGGGTTTGTTTGTTTTGTGAAAAAACAAATACACATTTTTCAAAAAAATTAATATATTACACACACTCATTAATTTTATATTACCTACACAGTTCCATATACTTAAAAGATATTCCTTTAAACCAAAATAGAAAACAAACAAACCCTTAGTTATAGTCTTAATGCCGATTACAATAACAGTCGTATGCTTAGTGTTGATAGTCTCAATTTTGCAATAGACACACAAGACCATTGTGTCCTGGACAATATTTTTCCAATCTTAAAAATCCGGCGATAAAATCTCTAAAGTGACATTAAATAGTGGGACAAATTAGAGTTAGTAAAATGAAACTTAATTCGATGGTTTTAGCATAAATTGAAACTACGTGACGTATATAAGTATAAACAGGATAGAACGTATAACCTGTAGTCGCCTGAGCCGTTCATTCTCCTCCTCTAGTCGCATAATCTTGTTCTCCAGCTCATTCGTGTACGCCTGTTCGATCAAAATTTCAATAATGAAGTACACCTTCTCTTAAATTTTTTTTAAAAAAAAATTAATAATAATAAGAAACACACTTGCTTCCTTGCCCGTGATCGAGCAGCTGATTCCCGGTTCTTGATCATCCTTTTCTGCCTCCTTTCAACGCTCTTCTCCGCCACATCATCAGGAGCAACTCTCTTTCTTCTCGGGGTTTGTGTTGTGTTCGACGGTGGGCCCATCAAAGGGGACGAAGAGAACGCCACTTGAGTCTCATGTCGGCCCGGAACATCGAACGGCAGGATAACCTGAGGATGATGATGATTCAATGGCATCGAGTAATTCATCCACTGTCCCTGATGAGGCATCCCCATCGCAACCCCTGCCTCATTTCCCGAACCCGAGATTTCCTTCCCCGGGGACGAATCCGTCACCACCCCTGCCTTGAACAAGAAATCCTCCAATGTCATCTTCCCATACGTCCCCGTCCTATCAATGCTCCTCCATACCTCCTCGACTGTCTTTTTGCTTAGATCTCCGGATATCCTCACCCCCGATGAAAGATGATCATAGCCAACACCCTCGGCTGCTGCTCGACTGCTGTTCGCCTCAACTTTTTCTATGAATTCATCTAAATTCATACTACCAAGAGGCTTCCCCAAATCCCCCAATTTGTTCTGCACCTCATCTAGAGTTAGATTGTAAATTGATCCTTGCCTAGCCACCGGGCCCGGGCCCGGGCCTCGGGCTTGAATTAGGGTTCCAACAATGCTAGGGCTACCACTCTCACTCATCAACACCATCGATGGATTACCTCAAAATCGAAGCTACTTTTTTTTTTTCCTGAATAAATCAATCCAAACAGTACCCAAAGTGAAATTCAATTCGATTAATTTTAGCAATACCTAACGAAATCTCCGAATCCCCAATTTGTCGAACGGCAAAAATCGATCGCGGAAATTAACAATCGAATTTGAAGACGAGTAGAAATCAGAGAAACGCAAATGCAATAAGCTGTGAAATTAATTCGTAGATCGATTAAGGCTTACCGGGGAGAAATTAAGAACCCTAGAACTGCAATCGTGTGTTTGCAGCAAAGCTATTTCGATTTCCGTCCGGTAGAAACAAAATCTGAAAACCTTGACGCCATGAAAGGATCCTGCAAAAACCTGAGGTGAGAATCTAAAATTGAGAAAGGAAATTGTACATATGGACGAATGATTTTACGCAGAAACGAGAGAGAGAGAGAGAGAGAGAGCCACTTTGCAATTTGCATTCGATTCCAGACAAAAGATTATTTAGTAATAAATTAGTACTATTTATTAACGATTTGAATATGGAAACATCGGACAGATATTGCGCCTTGTTTGTTTTGTGATTTTTAGTACTACTATGATTTTATTTATGTTTTCTTTGAAAAAAATAAAAAAATTATTAAAAATCAATTATACTGACAGCTTTTAGGCCGGAGGTTTATCCAATACGTACTTTCGGATAACTGCTACAGATTCCACATTATATAAAAAAAAAAAATTTTAAAAAAATTAATCAATTATACTTTGAAATATATCTCTATTTATTTAGTCAGACAATTATTCACTTTTATAATTTATTCTCCAAGGCTTTGTTTGTTTACTATTCTGATTTGAAATTATTTTCTTTTACATAAAACATAGGGACAATATCGATAATATAAAAATTAATATTTTATATTGATGGTTAAGTTTTGTAAAAGAATAAAATATATATATTAGGCAAACAAATTTGTCTCCGAAATTTTAATTTTGAGTTTGAATTTTAAATTATTAATATATTTTGAATTTAATTTGTCACTTCAGTTAGTTTCACGGGATCAGTGAGTCAGGGAATCAAAGGGGGCAAAGTCCCCCTTGTTTGGGTCCGGAGGTGATATATTCTCATAGTTTATTTAACTTCAGTTGTTCTCGATAAATCTGTTTTCCAATTCTGCCAATGGACGTAAACAATAAATTATTGTTGTATTACGTTAAATATTTTTTTTTTACATTTCTACTTGTTATTCTATTATTTAATCATAATCCGTCGTAACATAAATAATAAAATTTTGAATAGAAATAATTGATTAATATTAATAGGTCTTAATTTAATATAAAATTAAATTTTAATATAGTAAAATAAATTTATAATAGATGTTTGTATCGATAGTTATAAAAAAAATTGAAATAGTATTTTGTATTTTTAATATTTTAAAATAAAATAATAGTTATTTAATATTTCCTCCATGTATGATTTGTGTTTTTCCTGGATTTATTTATTTTATCATTTTTCTAAATAAAAATTAATTTAATTTAATATTTTATAAATTAATTCGCTTATATTGAAAACAATAAAAGATTAAAAATATGTTCGCATTTTTTTTTTTAAAAAAAGACCAACATAATTAATTCGGATGAATCAGATCTCATTTATTACGCACACATAACATTATTATTTATCTTTTGTGTTATTATACGTAACATTAAAAATATTTTTTATTTGTATAATTTACTCCACAAATGTCATTATATTTATATTACTATAAGAGATTTAATAGAAGTATTTTTTGTCATTTTCTCTTGATTTATACTACGTATTGATATAATAATTAATATTTAAAAATCAATACGCAGAAAGCCCATTGTACTATTTTATTATATTTAGAAAAGTTAAAATTTAATTATTATTTTTCGTTAATACTTATTTATAATAAATACTGCAAACTTTATTATATTTCGTCTCTTGATTTTTTTAATTATTAACTAAATTTTAAAAATACTTCAATTACCATTTTATTTTATTTTTAACAAAAAAAATACCCCCTCCGTCCAAGCTAAAAATATACAATTACTTTTGGCGCGGAGATTAAGGAATAATATAGTAGGTAGGTAAAAGTAGTAAAATGATATTTTTGCCCTTACTTTTTTGGTATAAAAGTAATGATGTGATGTAAAGTAGGGGTATTTGTGAAAAAAATGGGGTATTTAATGAAATGGTTACTTTGTAATTGGACGTCCCAAAATAGAAATATGTATATTTTCTTACTGGACGGAAGGAGTATTTTTTAATCACTTTGCCAACTCCAAATGGACTATTTTTGCGAATGGAGAGAGTATTATTTTTTTATTAGTTGAATTTATATATTCTTTTCGATCCGGGTCAGATAATCTATTTGGTTAGATATACGATATTTTAGATAGTGTGGATTAACAAGTTTGTGATATTATTTTGTTATTTTTTATATGAATAATTATTAGTATTTTAAATATTTTTAGTATTATGTCTCAATAAATTAAATATATGCAATATAAATATCATAAAATTTTATATAATAAAATAAACAAAAATATACTATATTTATTAATTTATAATTAACTTAAAACTAATTTTATTAAAAATGAGAAGTTTCAAATTTAAATAAAAATATTTGTTTATTGACCGGAGATATAGAAATAAAGAAGTTTTAAGTGAATTTTAGTATAATAGATTTAAAATTTAATTTAATTAATTTATATTTATTAAATATATTTAAAATGAATAAATTTATTAAAAATATAAATGTCATCTTTTATGGGATGGACAAAAAAAACACGAGGGAAGGAGTATAATTTATTTATAGAAAAAAAAAATTATTTACTTAAAGTTTCATTATCCATATTTTAATGAATATTAATCAATTTGTAATTATTTTTCTACTATACTTCACTACTCTATTATTAATTTTTCAATAAATTTCTTAATACTTCTATTTTACCTTTTCATTTTCGTCCCTCAGATGACCTTTTTCTATTTATTAAATTTATTAATCTTAAACATATTTAATAATAATAAATCAATTTAATTAAATTTCTAACGTATTATCAATAAAACTCATTCAAAATCCTTTATTTTTATTCTTCTTTTCAATAAATAAATATTTTTATCTATATTTAAAATGTCTCATTTTTTATAAAATTAATTTGAAGTTAGTTATAAATAAATAGATATATATTTTTGTTTATTTGTATTATATAAAATTTATTATCTACAAAATGAGATCTACATTATATATTTTATTGAGCTAAAAATATTTAAAATATCAACAATATTACTTATATAAAAAATAATAAAATAATATTATAACTTATCATTAATAATTTACTAATCTACACTACATAAATAATTGTATCTAAAGGGATCATCATATACGGGACGGATAGAGTATTAAAATATTATTCATTTCGTCCCTTCTTATTTGTCAACTATTTCCATTTATGTTCATCCTATTTATGTTATATTATAATTATTTTTATTAATACATTTATTAATTATTTACTAATTATATTGTACATATGTTAGTGTCTATAATAAATTGGAACAAAAAATAGAACAAAGATAGTACTTCATCCGTTCTAATACAATAGTCTTGTTTACTATTTTTGTCCGTCCCAAAACAATAGTTCTTATTTCCATAAATAATCATATCACCGTAAAACTAATCTTACTTTTTCATTTTTATTACACAATTGTCACTACTTTTTACACTAATACACTCACAATGGCAAAAAAGTCTTTTATCTATACTTTTTACCAACTATCAATATAATATCAATATTCCTTAAATCTCGTGTACAACTCAATTAAGACTATAGTTTTAGGATGGAGGGAGTAATATTTTATTAATTAGTGAAAGTGTGTAAAATATTTGAATATTTTTTATTTTGTCTGTATTTCTAAAGTAATTGTATGTATAATGATATATTTGTGATTTAAGTAAAAATTAAAATTTTCAATATTAGTGTACGATTACTTTTACTAAAATATAAAATAAATATTTTTAATTAAAATGAACGAAAATGATAAAAATAGTATTTTGAGTTAGAAAACGGATGGATTGTATTATATTTATGTGTGTGTTTCAGGGACTATCATACTGCAACAAAATCGTGTATATGCGCTGTGTTTATTCTGTATTTTTAGGTGAATTTGTTTTTTTCATATATATTAAATATAAGATCATTGTGTCGATAATATTAAAAATAATAATTTTGTTGAATTATTAATTTTTGTGAATTAATAAAATATATATTTCTTTCGTTTCATTTACCGTGTTCATATTTTTATTTCTGTCTGTTCCACTTATTTTGTCACTTTCTTTTTTTTTTTGAAAAATATTACACACTTTAATCTCATTTTAAAATTTTGAATTTATAGTTTATTTAATTTTAATTATGCTAGTTAGTTTTATTAATCTTAATTTAAAATTATTTATATTAAAATGACAATTATTTTTACTAATATATTTTTAATATTTATTAATTATATATTTTCTAAATTTTCGAATTTACCATAAATGAACATCATATGAAAATGGAGAAAGTATTATATATTATATTAATATATATACACAATATTTATTTAAATAATATTTATAAAAAGTTGTGTCATTAAAAAACACAAAACGAACAATCTTGTGGAGTTACGACCACTATCTTAAATGGTATGTATTAAAATGAAAAAAAAATTCGAAATTGATCTATTTATCTATTTAATTTTTGCATTATCTCTTAGAAATATATTCTCCGTCTCAAAATAGTTGTTTTATTTTTTTTATTTTTGTCTATTCTAAAATAATTGTCATGTTTCTTTATTTAGTAACCGTAATTTTCACTTTATAATAACATTATTCATATTTTTTCAAACTACCCATAATTATTACTCTAACCTATTTTTTAAAACCAGTATTTTAGTTTTTTACATTCTATTTTATACTAACTTTTAATTAAATACTATTATTCATTAATTCTCGTGTCAATATCCAACAAGACGTCTCTTCTGGGACGAAAAAAATATTTCTGACTTGTTTTTGATTGAAATATATATGAAACGATTTTGGATTATATATATTTTTATTATTATTATTTTTTAATGCAAACCCAAGTAGAGCTTTAAAAAATATTTCTTTTATCTTCGTTTGTATTCAAGGAGAGGGTGTACTTGTGACCGTGAGGTTATTGGTTCAAACTCCCGACGTCTCAGGTCACCTGCCATATGGTTTGTCTAGTGGGACTTTCCCGTCGGGCCTGATTTGCAGGGTATTAGGTTCGACTAGGGGTTTACTCAGTGCACACTTTCGGGTAATGGCTGCGGATTCTCACGTCATAAAAAAAGAAATATAATCATATATATATATATATATATATTACAATTTAAATTTGGTATATCTCTAAATACAATATACCTAAGTCTGTGTTCCAAATTTTTTTATATTTATGTTTTCAGTCATTATTTTTCAAATGAATGAAATTGTGCAGTATGTCTACGAAAAACAAACCGTTGTTGCCGGGCAAAGACGTTTGTTTGTCTTCTCGTCTCTTCAACTTCATTTATATCTCATAATGTTTTCGTTTTGTTTCTCTCGGTGCAAATTTGTTGCCGATCTATGTAATAGCTCGTAGTAATAGTAGATTGTAGTTTATCGCAATGCATGTGTAGATGATCAAGTTATGCATTGGTTCGAGAAGTGATGATAGTTGTTCGAACAAACAACTTTAGAAAAATGAAGAATGATCTTATGATATACTCTGTTTAGACTGAGATTTTGGTTTGTACGAGAAAAAAATAAAATTGATATCAATTTTCGCTTAAAGTGCTTTTCGCTTTTGTTTTTAAAAATTAACATTATTGACCTCTTCTCAAAATCAGAAGCAGCTTTTAATAAAAAAAATACCATTTTTAAGAAACACTGAAAGATGCTTGGGGAAAAAACAGTTTACTATTTAAATTACAGTTTTAACCTAATAATAATAATAATACTAATACTAATAAGTTAAATAATAAAATAAAAATAATTCATTTATATAAAATTTAAATATAATTATATTTTAATTATTAATTTATACATTTTATTTTAATTAAATTCAAAATTTAGGATTGAAAATATCAATTTTTAAAAATATAAATTTTAATTATATAGTTGATAATTTAATATTTTTAAATATAATTTATAAGTCAAAATAATTTGTAGAATATTATAAGTTACATTTAATTATATTTTTAATTTTCATTTTTATATAAAAAAAATTTACAAATATAATTTATACATAAATTTAATAAATATATTTTCAATTAGTTTAGATAATTAAAATTTTAAATATAATTTATAAAATTCTAAATAAATTAGAAAATTTTTAAAAATAATATATTACTCCCTCCATCAGTTTGGAAATGTGACATTTGCTTTTTACACATAAATTTTTAAATATTAATATTATATTAAATTGTAGCAAAAAAAATAAAAATATCCCTATTAATCTAATATAATATAAAAATAATAACATTTCTACAATATATTGTAAGTTAAAAAAATATTTATTATGTTAAATAGATAGTTCAAATGATAACCTTCTTTTAGAAAAACAAAAATGAAAAATGATAACCTACTTTTACTTATTTATTAAGTCAATTTAAATGTGATTAAAACCCAACCCTATTTAAATAGGGCATAATATATATATATATATAAATTAATTATTTTTATATTATTAGGTTAAAATAACAATTTTAATTCAAAATTGCTTTGGCTTTTTGCTACCAACTCAGAAAATTACTTCTAATTTTGGATCAAAACCAATACAAACATATGTAAATATAGTTTTTTTACAAAGTCTATTGATATGATATTTGAAATAAAAAATTGTGTAATATAATAAACAAAACATAGATGTTTGATTTGATATTTTTAAAGAAAAAAAATAATTGAAATAGTAAAATCAAAAAATCAAATAAAAAAATAAAATTTTTTTTTTAGAAGCTAATCCAAACAGGTCAAATTTCTAAAATAAGAAATAATTAATTATACTTAATTCTACCCCACACTTTATCCTCCCACGTCATCAAATAAAAAAATAAAATATACATTTATCTCTCTGTCACATCACCTAAAAATCCGTGATGCACCTTGTTTGGAACCGAGGGAGTATGTTGTAATAAATTTATTTTGCTAAAATAACAGGATTAATGTGCCGCGTAAAATTATATCATATATTGTCAAAACATGCCTGCATCGTAAACCACAAATAAAAAGAAGCATCCAAAACAAACTTACTTAAAAGACAAAATGGAACTTGCTTTAATAATCATCTATAAATTCGAAAAACATTCTACTAACAAACATACCTTCTTAGGCCTCCTCATCGACCACATGAACAATCTTAGGAGTCGGCTTCGCCAGCAAGTCCGTGTATTCTTGGAACGGTGATTTGATAAATCTTGTCTCCCTCCAAAAGTCCGGGGTTAGGAACCCGTAAGTCTTCAACAAGCAGTCGAAAGTTGCCTGAACAGATGGAACAAACACGTGATTACAAATCGAACATTTCCAATTGCCTCTTTGACAGATTTAGAAGGTGGATTTGTATTTTAGTTTCTCGGTTTTCCTCTTATGATTTTACTCCTAAGATATAAGATAATCAAATCGAAATAGCCCAAAACACAATTAACATTTTTCACTATGCATAATTTCTATTAAAATTTCGATATTTCACAAAACATCACACCAAAATACCGTTTAAGTGAAAACTCAAATAAAAAACTCATTTCAAACTACAACCAAACAAACATCTAATTCGATTCCTTCCTACACAAAAACCCAATTCAAATTTTTTACCCTACAATCATATATGCACAATTATCATGTTATGGAGATCGACAATTCGGCGCATAATTTGGAAATGGATGTTACGGTGTTTTTAATCATATCACAATCACGATGATCATTGAATACATCAAAAATTACACCAGAATTTACAGACTTATTCATCAAATGGAAGTCAAGAACACAAAAACACGTAAGCACGGAGGATTCCAGGATCATCAAAGATATAATTAATTTCGTAAACTCGAACAAATTCAACAGTTTAGCAGTAATTAGCAAGTAATCCCACAAAGTTCAAATTCAATCGATTACAAACAAGACCAAGATGAATCAACAATCACCTATGAATCAAGCCTTGCACCAAATCCATATATCAAGCTTCTATAATTCGATGCTAATATCAACAAGCAGATCATCAAATCAAATTCAATTTCCAGTTTAATAAGAATTCATGTGGTTGTCAATGAACAGGCCGAATTCAATTCAGTATTTCAAGGTTAGGGCAATAATATAGTTTAACGAATTTACCAAATTGAAATCGAACTCAAAATCCCCCAATTTATAAAACCCTAATATCATCAGTTCATACCACTGAAAAAAATTCGCATACCTTAACAAAATTCCCAAGAGTCTTCGTGGATCCACGGGAAGAAGTGAAAACATCCTCAATTCCGGCGAACTGGAGCACCTTCTTAGGCACACGCGCCGCCACAATTCCGGCGCCACGCGGCGCCGGAACCATACGGACGGTAACGGAGCCACACTTTCCGGTGACCTTGCACGGCACAGTGTGCGGCTTCCCGATCTTGTTCCCCCAATAGCCTCTCCTTACAGGAATCACCGACAGCTTAGCCAATATAATAGATCCACGAATCGCCGTCGCCACTTCCTTCGAGCACTTAACTCCCAAACCGACATGTCCATTGCCGTCTCCGACCACCACAAAAGCTTTGAACCGTGTCCTCTGGCCGGCGCGCGTCTGCTTCTGGACCGGCATGATTTTCATCACCTCGTCCTTAAGCGAGGGCAGCAGAGCGTCGACGATTTGGTACTCCTTGATCGGGAGGGAGTGCAGGTAGATTTGCTCTACAGATTTGATTTTTCCGTCACGGACAAGGCGGCCGAGCTTCGTCACCGGCACCCACTTCTCCTCCTCGCTCTCGCGGCGGGGGCGGCGGCCGCGTCCTCGGCCTCCTCTGTCTCCGCCGCGGCCACGCCCGCCGAATCCGCGCCCGAAACCGCCACGATCGCCGGCTCCTCTGTCCGCCATGGTTGGTGCAGTTGGAGGAAGATAATGCAGAGGGAAATGGAGATTGTGCGTGTGGCGGAGGGTAGAAACCCTAGAATTGAGTCGGACTCCCTTATATACAAAATGGAGATCTGTAAATGGGCTTTAGGGTTTTGTTAAAGCCCAAAATTTAATGGGTTTTTGGATTATCTTAAAATTATTTAATGTTAATACGTTTCTATTTATTTAATTATTATTATTATTATTATCATATATTTTTTCCGTACATTTAATTTATCCATTTTTTCAAAATTTTGTTTATTCTATAATATTTATCGTAATATAATTATATATTTTAATTATATTTTAAAATTAATAATTTATTTTAATTTTAATTAAACTATTTAGTTATTTTACTCTTAATTTATAATTATTTTTTATTAAATTATAATTATTTTACTAATATAATTTTTAATTACTTATTAATTACAATACCTAAAATTTCTTGTTTAAATTAAATGAAAGTTGAGACGCAGATAATATTTTAAATAATCTTTAAGATGTGTTAAATCATTATTACTCACACCCAAACGATAACAACTGTCAATTTGCCGTTATAAAAATAATAATAATAATTATCATTAAAATAATTTCTGATCAAAACAAAATAATTAAAATAAATTGAGTTGGTACCGGCTCATAGGGGTGGGTACAAAATCGAACTGAACTGTCGAACTGCTGAATCGAACTGAACTGAACCGAATTTTCGATTAACCGAGCAAATTCGATTCGAATAGAAAATAATAATTTTATTATTATTATTTTTTATTTATCTTATTAAAAATTATCTTTTCAATTTATTTTCCTTCTGTTTTTTCTTTTATATTTTATTTCTTTTTATCATGTGGGTGATCCTTTATTTTTTGTTCCACAACTACAAATTAATTAAGATTTGACTAGATCTTAAGTGGACCTTTCTGAGCCCGGTCCGGGCTGTGTTTCTTGGGCCGGGTTTATATTAATTTTTTGTTGGGATACACAATATTTGATTTTAAATTGTAAATATTTAAATTAAAATATGTAAAAATTATATTTAATAAAATATACTTCACTTAACATGAATATAATTTTACAAAAATGTAATTTTATATAGTAAAAATAAATAATATATTTATATGCAATATATAAGTATATTTATTTAAAATATAAAATTTTATTTAAAATGAGATTTTTATTTATTTATTTATTTTTAAAGTACAAGGGTTTTAATTCGAATTTTTATTTAAATAGTATTTTAATACTCCCTCCATCCCAGATACCATGTCTGCTACACTGTAGACACGATATTTCAGGAGTATAATTAGTAGATAATTAAGAATGTATTAGTGAAAATAATTATTCTATAATATAAATAATTATAAATTAAGATTAAAGATAACTAATTAGTTTAATTAAAATTAAAAAAAATAAAATTTAAAATTTTAAAATAAGATTAAAGTGTATAATCATTTTCCAAAAAAAAGAAAGTGACATAATATGTGGGACGGACGGCAACGTGGACATGGTATCTGGGACGGAGGGAGTATATTATATAAAATATTGAATTTTTATCTAAAATGTATAAATTGAATAGTGCTGATTTATATTTAAATACCCCGAAGTTTGTGTTTGTAATTGATTTTGATTTTTTTTAATTTAAATTTAATTTAAATACCTAGTCAGTCTTTTAATAAATTATTTATTTTGGTCATTTCCATGTCAAAATATTCTTTTTTTTTTTTTTAAATAATCGTGCATCTACTTAAAATTAAAAATATTCTTACAATTTACAATATATTACACAAATATTATTATTTTATACTATACAATACTTAATAAAATTATTTTTTTAATTTTTTCTTAATCCATTGCAATTTCGAATAAAGCTAGCTTCATGTCCCATGCCAGCTATGAGCCCAAACCCACCAAAATCTCCAACCTAATAGAAGATGTTTTAAGTAAGGCTGACATGGAAAAAAATAAAATAAAATAAATTATATAACTCACTTGTATTTTAATAAAAATGCATAAAACACCATATATTTTATTTATTTTATGAAATTCCTTTGTGTTAATGTAAAATTTGTACGAAACACTATTCTCGTTCAAAATTGATATTTGATTTTAAATAAAGACTTAAATTACGCAAATTTTATAGAAATAAAAAGCGCAAAATATCTTAAATAATTTTTTAAAATAAAATAAAATAAATAAATAATTGATTACTCGTTCATTTTATAGTTTTTGAAGACAAATTATTTATTTATTTATTTATTTTACTCAAAAAGAAATTATTTGAGATATTTTATGTTTTTTATTTGTATAAAACTTGCGTAATTTAAGTCTTTATTTAGAATCAAACATCAGTTTTGTACAGTGAGGGTGTTTCATACAAACTTTACATTAACACAAATGTGTTTCACGCAATAAATAAAACACATGATGTTTTGTGTATTTCTACTAAAGCACTGAGTGTTATATAATTTATCCAAAAATAAAGTAAAAATAGTAAACTAAAATAAATAAATAAAATAAAATCTGCTGTTAAATGTTAAAACACTCACCAATGTAATCGGAGCTAACCCAATATGAATGGACACTATATGTGTCATAATTTACATTTATAGAGTAGAAGTTGAAATAATATAATACTCCCTCCGTCTCATGTACCGAGTGCAGACACGTATTTTTAAGAAAGATGTAATTAGTAGATAATTAAAAATGTATTAGTGAAATTAATTATCTATAATATTAATAATTATAAATTAAAATTTAGATAACTAATTAGTTTAATTAAAGTTTTAAAAAAATAAATTACAAAGTTTAAAATGAGATTAAAGTGTGTAATCATTTTCCAAAAAATGAAAGTGACATGGAACGTGGGACGGACAGAAACGGCAACGTGGACTTGGTATGTGGGACGGATAGAGTATTTGTCGATCTTTTATGTGTTGATTAGAACTAACCAGGTAACGATTAGCCTTAATCAACAGTCTACTCAAAAAAAATTATTGAGTTTAATAGGTTCAACTTGACACAATAGCATTTGCCTATCTTTTAATCTATACTATATAAAACCCGAGCTCGGATTTTATTAGACTCGATCGGATTCAATAAATCCTAAAATCGAATTCGAACATAAAATAATTGGCTCCAATAACAGCTCAGTCTACAAAAGATGTCCATGTAAGTTGGACTAAGAAAACAATCACATAAATACTTAACCTAATTGTGATATAGGACATTACACATAGCTAGTAAGTCACGTACGCACTATAATGAAAAAGTCGTTCTATAAAAAGGTGATCGAATTGGTGTGGTAGGTCGATACCTTCTTATACTAACACATCATACATAATTTGTGTTCGTTTATGGGATTTTCTCAAAAATCTATTTGTATCACATCATATAACTATTCAAATTCAAAATTTTTACTATTCAAATCCCAACTCAAAATCCAAACCCCAAGACAAAGACATTAGCGTGTCACTACATTTTGCAACAAAACTAGCTAGCTTGATTTCATCTGCCACCCGGAACCCGATTGAGAGCCCAAAGAGCCAAGAACTTGCTATGCTAATATGCTATAACCCTAAAACTTAAATGGATGGGATACCCAATTACATACACCCAAGAAATGGCCACAAATTATAATGTTAGAATTGAACAAAGAAAAGAAAGCATGGTGGAGAATAGGAGGAGGAGGATCAGTGAAGAGACAAAAGCCCCAAGCAAGGAATGGTCATTTTCATGATATAGAAACATTTTTGTTTCTCTTTTAATTTATATATAATGCAAGAGTATTATTTGATAAACAAAAAACAAATAAATAAATAAAGGTGATAAGATAAGAATATAAAAAAACAGACAGCTTCAAATAATAGTAATAATATGAGTTTGGTGTTGCTAATGTTGTCCAAAGAAGAGACACAGCCAAAGTGTCTGCAGTTTACAGTCACACATGGGGGGCCTCCCCACCTTTGAATAACTCTACATTTTGCTGCCTAAAAGTGGGGAAAGCTTTTTGTTTGATTTCTTACCCAGCCCAGTCCTCAAGAATCTTCTTATCTTTCTTTTTACCAAATAATAATAATATTAATAATAACAACATTATCATCAGTGCCAAAATTAAAATGGAAATGATAATTTCTCAACAAGTACCTATCTCAAAGAGTATGTTTTTTTTTTTTTTTTTTTTTCTGTAAAAAATACATTTTCCCAAAAACATATTTTTCAAAAAAAAATTAATACTCCCTCCGTCCTATAACAAAATATTCATTTTTCTTTTTTTAGTAACCGCACTATCTACTAACATTACAAATACCCTTACAACTAACAATATATTACACAAATGTCATTACCTTTATATCACACATACTAATAAGGTTATTTTAGTCATTTCTACTTTATTCCTACTATATTCCAATATAATACTAATATTTCTAAAACTACGTACAAAAAACAAATGAATATTTACTTATGACGAAGGGAGTATATTACATACACACTATCTATTTTTATATTATTTATATAATTCTCTATGCTCTACTGAGAACAAATATTTTTTCAAACTATTTCACTAAACAAACAAATCCACTCTTTAAGCTTAAGAAATATAACTCAATAAGCTCAATTTACCCTCATGTAAGTCCCTGCGCACACACACAAATAAAACTAAAATCCTTTAGAGTTTGTTTTTTTAGCATTTTAAATCAAAATCAATATTATTCACTCTACACAGTTTTCAATAGAAATACACTATTTACTCTCACAAAATATTACATCAAAATATTATTTACATAAAAACTTAAATTAATATTCAATTTCAAATTACAGCTAGCCAAACTCTGTCCAAACTCACAAATTTTAACTATTCACCACTTTTGGAGTCATTAAAAATGCAGACCCCACAAGTAAAACCAAACAAAATGGATCATGTTACTTGAATACTTTCTTATCATCACAAGTTACCATTACTATGACATATATTTTGCAAACCTTTTTTTATGACTTTTTTGTAATAGATACAAACTAAAATTGACAAGAATAAACTTAAAAAGAGAGTTTTTCTCCCTCTGTAATGATCCCCACCATTAATAAAGAGATCTGTCAAAGCTATTAATAAGATGCGAAGGGGAAAAGGCCACAAAAAGAAACTATGATTGGGTGTTAAAAGCACAGCCACAGCTACCAATTCAAGCATGAAGATACCATACCTATCTAACTACCTTTTTTGAGTTAGCTCATATGCATACACACATGGTTAGCAATATAGGCAGATCAATAACTTCATGTCCTAAATATACTTTCTTCAATTCTTCAAAATGACAAGTAAAGATAGATTGATAAACAGTAACTGCCACCACTCAATTTTATTCACGGGTTTAGAAAAAACTGCTCACAATGATAAGTTGTTGATCATGTTACTAAAATCACAGCTTAAGATAATGGAATAGTTTGTGGTGTACTATAAAAAGCTCTAGAAGCCTTAGTCCTCAACAAGATTCATAATCTATAGGTGCAAATTTTGAGCATTGTGATAGTTTTGAATACCGGTTGTTTGACATAAGAAGCTTCAATCTAAAATACATTTCTCACCAAGCATTTGAAAACATTTCATTTCTGGCTTCCTAATAGAGTTAATTATCCATATAGATCTAGGGGACATACTAAAGTTTGGCGAAAAACGGATCTCTTTGGTACCTTTTATAATTCTGTATTCAATCAAGAGAAAACTCCATTCAGATTCTAATATCTGAAATCCAGAGATGGAAATACTTAATTTATTCTAAATCATTAAGGGGGTAAAGAAAAAAACCAACCTTTTATTCAACATTGGAAAGAGTAATAAGTTTATATATATGTAGATAAACCTCCAAAGTTATATCTTATTACACTTTTCTATCACAGGGTTCAATCATTTGCATAAATTTTCATATATAAGAACACTTGAAAGGAAACCAAAACCACAAGCACATACACAAATTTTCACTATTCTTACTATATAAATAATAAAGCAAACCTTGTTTAACATGTTCTAATGAAAAATATTTTCTTTTTCACTAAAATAAGAATAATAGTTGGTGGAAGAAAACAAGAAAGGAAATTCTGTGAGGGCATAGTTTCTTGACCACTCAACAAAGAATCAAGATTCATGCATTTAGGCTGCAGACATTGATAACCTGTTCATGGACTGATCTGTTTCAAAGCATGTCCCCTCTCCACCTTCCACCTCATCCAAAATACAACATTGCATTATTGCCAGTAATTGTTCTTTTCCCCCTTACATCAAACTTTTAGAGAATGAATTAACCATATGTAAACTGTTTGGTGTCAAATTTTCTTGTCATCGAAAGATTTTGGCACGATTGAATGAATTTGAGGCCATCTACTTAAAGCCAAGAGTTCACAAATTTCAGCAGCAATTTCATTCTCCCTCAGCTCTATATTCTCTACCAAGAACATGGATTCTCCCTTTAAAGACATATCATTCTCTTCCTATCTTAAGCCACAGAATGACGCACAAAATTCACAAGGAAATGGCAGCCCAGAGGAAGCAGAATTAAGCATATTCGATGCACATAAATATTTCAGCGAAAGCTGTAATCAGAATGGCCTTAAGATGCAGAAGCAACAAGAACTACCTGATGATGTTCTGTCTATCCCAAGGCTATCATCAGTTTCTTCCATTGATGGATATGGCAAGAACTTCCCAACAAGATCATTTCGCAGAACGGCGACGACTTCTTCTGAAGCTAGCTGGAATAGCCGAACTGGCTTATTGGCTACTCCACCAACCAAAAATTCCCGCAGAAATTTACCTGCAGATCAGAAAAATATGAAGAACAACTCTGCTGTTAAGAAATGGTTTCTTGGGAGAACTTGTTGCTGCAGTGATAAAAAGGCGGTGCAAGTTAAGGAAGCAACTGTAATGGAGTTAGAACACAAAGGAGCAGTGGTGAAAATCAATACTACAGGAAATGATGTTATAAGGAAGGAAATGTGTTCGGAAAGGGATCAGAGCAGCAAGGGAAGCTCACCTGTTATTATCGGATTTGGATCCGCTGAGGCGCCGCGAATGCAGCGGATATCGGCGTCGGGACGGCCGTTCCTTGACGGTGCTATAAGCTTTACATTTCCTATTCTGAATTCTTCGATCGAGCAGCACAATAAGCCTTCCGTAATTGGAACATTCGCGAAACCGATTGTTAATCTGAGCAAATATTCGCAACCGGAGGTTCCGCCGGCGGTTTCAGGACCGGAATCGAAACGCGATTGTGTCGATGGTGGAGGCGATTTCAATCCGAGAAGAGTTATTGCCGACGACGATGCTGGAAGCGACGCGAGCTCCGACCTTTTTGAGATTGAGAATTTCTCATCCCAAACGACGTCGTATACAACTTGTGCCCTAGGTGAGGATCGTGCGAGTGCGAGGAGATTCAATCCCGCCGGCGGAACTAAGCTTGTTGACTACGAAAGGATGGACGTGGTCGACGCCGCGGCGGCGGCGGAGGAGGCGGAGTGTTATGCTCCGAGCGAGGTAAGCGTAGACTGGAGTGTGGCGACAGCGGACGGCGGAGACAAAACAAGCGTCGGCAATAAATCGGAAATCAGAAATGTAGCGCCATTGCTGAGGCAGCAGAAGGAGCCGCCGAGCGGTGACGGCGATTGGAGGAAGGGAAACAGCGGGGTGGTGTTGAGGGGATGCCGGCACGAGAAGGCGGTGAGCGTGGCTTCGCAGCCGGTGAAATGCATGGCGGTGGATGGAGGATGGCGGAAGGCCGCCGCCGCCGGCCGGTAAATCGCCGATTGCCGGCGCCGGCGATGGCGGGTAGTGATTTGCATTAATCATGACTGGAATGTGTTTATTATGCTTTAAACAACTATTAGTTATACATTTTTTATTTAAATATATTTTATAGATTAATAAAATATACTCCTTGTTCCATTTTAATTTGTTTTTTTGAACCTTAAATAAAATATATTTAATAAATATAAATCAAATTAATTATCCATCGTACTAAAAAAAATAAATATCTTTTCATCTATATTTAAAATTTCATTTATTTTATAAAATTAATTTATGCGAAATACAAAAATTTATAATTACGATACTCCGTTCATCCCATAACAAAGTATCCATTTTTTCATTTTAATTCATCCCATGACAAAGTATCCATCTTTTTTAAGTAATTGTACTGTCTACCTAACATTACAAATACCTTTACAACTTACAATATATTACACAAATATCATTACCTTTATATCACACATACTAATAATGTTATTTTAGTCATTTCTACTTTATTCCTACTATATCTTAATATAATACTAATATTTCTAAAATTACGTGTAAAAAACAAATGGTACTTACTTATAGGATGAGAAGAGTATAATTTTTAAAAATATTTAAATACATATTCTAATTTTTTAATTATATATATTAAATTTATTTTAAAACTATCAATATTATTAATTATATGTAAAATAATTAAATAATATCATAAGAAGTTAATTATTCCTAGACAAAATGAGTACTATATTATAATTTTACACTAATATAATCATTAATTATCAAATCAATACACATCAAAATTCTCAAAATCAAATCCAATTCAAACTCAAACTGATTTTTTCCAAATTCTCTCAAAAGAAACACACCCTAATACTTCATCCATAAATTTGTTGCTCCCTCCGTCCCAAAAGAGTTGTCTTGTTTTTCTATTTTCGTCCGTCTCAAAACAATTGTTTTGTTTCCTTATTTAGTTATTGTAGTCCTCACTTTATAACAAATTATTCATACTTTTTCAAATTACCCATAATTATTATTCTAACCTACCCACTTTTTAAAATCATTCAAAAAAACGGTATTCTAGTCTTTTACCTTATACTTTATACACACTTTCAATTAAATACTATTATTCCTTAATTCTCGTACCCACTCCAAATTCTGAGATGGAGGGAGTATTACATTTTTTTTCCATCTTTCATATTTTTTGCATTACTAATTTTGACAAAATTAATAATAATTATTATTATTATTTTGAAAAGATAGCAATTTATAGCATTGATTTGACAAAGAGCTTTTGAAGAACTTTTAGCTTATTGAACAACTTTTAGCTGTTTGACCATTCAAACCGCTAATTTAGGTGTTTGATATAGCTTTTTGAACCCAAAAAGCTAACTTACTAAACGTTTTGAAATAATTTTTTCAGTTTAAATTTTTATATTTTTTATTTGCTCTTAGTAATTTATTATGCATTTTACACAAATAAATATATTTTGATCATTTATTAAATATATTAGACTATTTTATTATATTATAGTTTTACTTTTATAAATTTAAAATAATTATTTTATATATATAAATTATTTTAATGGTAAAATAAATAAATTTATTAAAGCCAACACAAATTATAAAATACAAATATTAATAATTTATTTTTATATTAAAATTACATCATATAAATTTTATATGAAAAATAAATTAAATGTATTGAGAATTATAAATATAATAAACTAATCGATAATTAACATAATAAATATATACACAAAAAATTTATTGTTTTATATTTTACATCATTCTCAATAAAAAAAACTATTTATATATATTATTCAATAAAAATATATTATTTTTTAAATCTAACTATAATAAAAATAAATACTATTTTGTAACACTTTTACAATTTTCAATAACTAATAGCAAAAATTTCAAACATTCTAAACTCAAAAGAACACAATTGAATATATTAGAAAATATATATATATAAATGTCTTCAATTGTCATTTTACCAAACAATTAATATCTAATAACTGTTTTACCAAATATTTTAATACAAACAACTAATCGAATCAACTAGTCAAAGCTAACAGCTATTAACTAATTGTCAAACACGCCCCTAAACTTTTACCAAAGCGACATTACAAGTAACCACCAAATATACACGGTAGTTAGGCATATCAATGGAAAGGATCTAGTATGGTTCTTAAAGTTCTAGATCCGGATCCGTCCTCCCAATATTGTCTCGATTTTAAAATTGGATTTTTCGAAGCTTAAAAACTGCTCACCACATCCGATACCACCAGATTTGGACTAATTCAGATCCGATCTCGGGTCCAATATCCTTATACATATTAAGTCTGAATTTATGTTCACATCAATGTATAAATTCTTTCAATATTTTAAAAACTCCGACAATTAAAATTTAATTAATGGACATTTTCAATTTTAATATTATCTGCGTTTGCCAAACTTAGAGACATCATACAAAAGAAATGCCCCTAAGTTTGACAAACAAATGAACTATAAAATTTCATCCATTTAAAAATAAATTATAATCTTTTTGTCCGTCTCTAAATGGTACATTTATTTTTTGTGTTATTGTACTTAATATTAAAAATATTCTTATATTTATATAATTTTTGTGCAAATGTAATGTATTTGTATTATAAGAGATTAATAAAAGTATTTTTTTTCTATTTTTCTTTGATTTGTATTATATTTTAACATAATAATTAATAATTAAAGATCAGAAAATAAGTATACAATAGATATACTAAATCATCTAATATTACACATTAAGTATATAAATATATTAATAAATAATATTCTATACAAGAATCCGGATCCGATTCAGAATAACAAATATTAGATCCGGAATCATATAAAAACAAATCGGAATTCAAATACGATCCTCGGATCCATACGAGGTTTTTGATCCGGAAAAATCAGACTGGATTGGATAAAATCCAGTTCGAAACAGAGCAAAATGATGAGCGACTAATAACCTCAGACTATTAAATACTCTCTCCGTCCATTTTCAAAATGATCCTTTGAAGTTCGGTAGTAAATTAAGAAATAATAGTATTTTATTGGTTAGTAAAAGTATGTAAGGTGTGTTTATTTGAAGGATTTCTGTAAATTTCTACTATTCGCTCAAAATTTTTTTCTCAAAAATATCAAATCAAACATTTATTTTTTTCATTTTTTTTATTATAGTAATAAAAAGTAATTTTACATTTAAAACATCACATCAATATATATTAATATCATATTATACAACTATTCAAATTCAAACTTTTTTACTATTCAAATTTTAATCCAAAATCGAAACCCCTAAACAACCACATCCGTAAGAAATTTTGACGTTTTTGTCATTTGACTTTATGTATAAAATAATTGTATGTGTAATGATATATTTATAATTTAAACAAAAATTTAAAAATATTTTTATATAAATGTATTGTTACTTTTAGTTAAAAATATAAAAGAATAATTTTAAGTGAAAAAAACAAAAATGATAAATATATATATTATATCTTATAAACACGCGTTGTACGGATCTGCCACTTGAAAAGTGTATCCTGCCCCTCATTTCGAAAATGAAAATTTAGCCCTTAACCTACCTTTGTATTGGCTTGAAAAGACGTTTTGGAACCGTCGCCATCAACCGCCCAAGACGAAACGTTTTGGAACGTCGTTTGGTCGGTTACATCAACCGCCTCGCCAAACGCCTCCACCAGTTCCAGAACTCAAATAGCCCAACCGACCAATCCAGAGACCAATCGGTAGACCAAAAGACTCATTGACCGCACCCACCAAGCGACCTGTCTATCCGCCTGCGGACCAGCTGACTTGTCTATGCGACCGCAGACCAGCCGACCTACTTTATCCGACCGCAGACCATCAGAAATGTCTGTCCGACCTGCTAACCATCAGACCTGTCTGTCCGAACGCTAACCATCCGACCGAGGACCAACCGACCAGACCAACCGACCGAGGACCTTCCGACCTGCCTATCCGACCGCTAACCAACCCACCTGACCATCCGACCAACCGACTTGAGCGCAAATTTTTCTCCTTTTCCACCCGACTTCGTGTCTAACTTCCTTTAAGATCCTGCTATTCTTATTTTTATTATTATTATTATTATTTTTTGTGCGTAACAATTATCAAAGTTGAAATTTCTTTGTTATTTTTGACATTTCAAAACTCATAAAGAGATGCAGGGTCACCCTTCTTATCTCAGTCTATCCGCCTGCGGACCAGCTGACTTGCCTATCCGACCGCAGACCAGGCGACCTACTTTATCCGACCGCAGACCAGCCGACCTGTCTGTCCGACCGCTAACCAGCCGACCGAGGACTAACCGACCATACCAACCGACCGAGGACCTTCCGACCTGCCTATCCGACCGCTAACCAACCGACCAGACCAATCGACCGAGGGTCTTCCGACCTGCCTATCCGACCGCTAACCAACCCACATGACCATCCGACCAACCGACCTGAGCTCAAATTTTTCTCCTTTTCCATCCGACTTCGTGTCTAACTTTCTTTAAGATCCTGCTATCCTTATTTTTATTATTATTATTATTTATTTGTGCGTAACAATTATCAAAGTTGAAATATCCTTGCTATTTTTGACATTTCAAAACTCATAAAGAGATGCAGGGTCACCCTTTTTATCTCAGTCTATCCGCCTATGGACCAGCTGACTTGCCTATCCGACCGCAGACCAGCCGACCTACTTTATCCGACCGCAGACCATCATACCTGTCTATCCGACCTGCTGATCCTCAGACCTGTTTGTCCGACCGCTAACCATCCGACCAGACCAACCGACCGAGGACCTTCCGACCTGCTTATCCCACCACTAACCAACCGATCTGATCATCCGACCGAGGACCAACCGACCAAACCAACCGATTGAGGACCTTCCGACCTGCCTATCCGACCGCTAACCAACCCACTTGACCAACCGACCACACCAACCGACCTGACCAACCGACCTGAGCGCAAATAATTCGATTGTATTTTTGTTTTACAGTTTATATTTCAAATAAATAATATTTCACTATATTATATTATATAGAATAGTCGCGCGGTATGTCGCCGCAAAAGCGTCTTCTTCTAATGTGTATGTATATATATTTATTTAGGAGGCAGTGAGTACAAAATTACACTCCCAGACTTAATAAATTAACATTTTGAATTGATTGTCTCACAGGAACAATCCGTTGTTCCTGAACACCTCTAACATCATAAATGAATTTTCACACGTGTCTGCTCTGAATTCCCATACCATCTCCGCTTCAAAACTACAGTGGGATTGTATTTGACATGAAATTTAAAAAATATTAATATTATATTAATAATTGATAAAAAATATATGTAAAATTTTTTTTGTTCTTGTGAGTGTATTAATATAAAAAATAGTGTCAATTGTGTAATAATAATGAAAAAGTAAAGTAGTTTTATAGTAATATGATTATTTATAAAAATGAGACTATTATTTTGGGACAGACAAAAATGATAAACAAGACTAATGTATTGAGACGGAGAGAGTATATGATAAAGTCAATAATTTAATATTTAATTTAATTTTTTTTTTGTATAAAATAACAAAATGAAAGTATTTTAAAAAATACTTCATCCGTCAGTTTCTAAGGATCACATTTACTTTTTGTGTAATTGTATTTAACATTATAAATATTCTTATATTGTATAGTTTTTTTGTACAAATATTTTATCAGTATTATAAAACACTAATTGAAGTATTTTTGTAATTTTTTATTAATTTGTACTATATTTTAATATAATAATTAATATTAAAATACCACTTTAAAAAAAGGAAGTAGGATATGAGTTGAGACAATAAAGTGTGATATTTTTTTCATAAGTATGTTTGTTTTGGAGATTTTGGAGGAATTGTACTATTCATTTAAATATTTTCTCTAAAAAAAATTTAATTATTATCATATCAGATAAAATTATTCATATAAGGACGGGAAAATCATACTAGGTGGACATGAGGTATTGGGAGTTTGAACCCATAACTTTATGGTCACAAGTCCGACCCCAACCCCTACACGACCATCCCTTCTGCGACTCCAAAAACATTAATTTTTACTCGTACAGAAATGAGATAACATTGTTCTTTGTTCACCTTATATTTTTAGATATATTTGTTATATATATATATAGTAAGTATGAAAGAATTGTATTGCTAATATAAAATATTTTAATATTTTTTATTAAATTATTAATTTTTTTAAATATATAAAATGTATATATATACGTTATATTATATTCCTTCTGTCGTTTGACAATTTTTTTAATTTTTTATTTTGGTCTGTTTCATTTTTTAAGTAACGGTATTATTTACCTAACATTACAAATACTCTTGAAACTTACAATACATTACATAAATATCATTACCTTTATATTATACAATACTAATAAAATTAATTTAGTTTTTTTACATTTATTTCACTGTATTCCAATATAATATTAATAATGTAAACAGACAGATAGATATGGAACGGAGGGAGTATGGGTGTGTTTCTTTAGGAGAGTTTAGGAAAAGTTGGGTTTGGATTTGGTTTTCATTTGAATTTTGGGATGAGTTTGGATTTTGTTGTTTCTTTTGTGTTTGGGGAGTTTTGATGTTTATAGGAATGATTTGATTATGAATTTATATTATACCCAATATATATTTAAATTTTTATTTATTTATATTGTAAAAAATGTTATTTTTTACAAAATAACATATATATTGTATATATTTTTTTCATAATTATAATAAATATTAAATAAAATTTTGAATATATAGCCTCATGTTACGAGTCCATTGTATAGTAGATGAACGTTAAAGTTTTGGCCCAAATCTATTCCACTGACCGATATTTTATAGGGCTACAAGGGTGTTTTTATTACAAAAATATTATACCCAATTTTATTTAATTAATATTTTCTAGACAAATTTATTGATAAATAATACTTTCTATTTACCCAATGAACACAATATTTAAGATAATATATTTTAATAGGCTAGTAGTTATGATATAAATTACTTAAATATATTTTACTAGGCTAGTAGTTATGATATAAATTAATATATATAATTAAAAAATTTAAAATATGAGTTTAGATATTTTATAATATGAATATCAATTTTTTAAAAATAAAATCTTATATAATAAAACATATATTTATTTATAATTAATATAAATTAATTTTATAAAAACTAAGAATTTTTAAATATACATAAAAAAAAATACTCCATCTGTCCCAATACAATAATCTTGTTTACCATTTTTGTCCGTTCCAATAGTCTATTTTTATAAATAATCATATCATTATAAAATTATTCTTACTTTTTTCATTATTATTACACAATTGTCACTACTTTTTACACTAATATACTCACAAGGGCAAAAAAGTCATTTATCCTTACTTTTTACCGACTACCAATATAATATCAATATTTTTTAAATAACCTGTCCAACATAATAAGACTATACTTTGAGATGGAGGGAGTATTTGTTTATTGAATCATAATATAAATGAAAATTTTTTTTTTGAAGATTTAAAATTTAATTAAACCGATTTACAATTATTAAGTATAATTTAAATCGATAAATTTATCAAAGAAAAAAAATAAAAAATTATATGTTGTTATCGGATAGATAAATAAAGAAAAATAGGCAGGAGTACATAACCGTCTTATTTATTAAAAGATTATTACTCCTTCCGTCCCAGATACCATGTCTGCTGTTTCTGTCCGTTCCACATATCATGTCATTTTTCTTTTTTGGAAAATGATTACACACTTTAATCTTATTTTAAATTTTTAAATTTTATTTTTTTTATTTTAATTAAACTAATTAATTATCTTAATCTTAATTTATAATTATTTATATTATAAGATAATTATTTTCACTAATACATTCTTAATTATCTATTAATTACACCACTCCTAAAATATTGTGTCTACAGTGTAGCAGACACGGTATCTGAGACGGAGGGAGTATTATTTTATTTTACTTTATTTTATTAAACATGTTTAAAATTATTAATTTTATCAAATATATAATAAAATCAAGACAGAAAAAAAAAAAGAAAATTAGGCGTGACAGAGGAGGGAGTCCATAACTGTTTTATTTATTAAAATATTATATTATTTTATTGAATAGCAAAGCATTACATCAAACCATAATGTGAAATACTAAAAACGGAAAAGAAAGCGCATATAATAAATCATAATCAGGACCACAAGTCCCAGGTCCTCCAAGCTCAAGAAGATCCCACCCCGAGAAAGTCATAATAATAGAATCTGCCATTGCCGCCTGCTGAGTCATCCTCACTCACACCCGAAGTCTCTTCACTCTCCGATTCTGCATCTTAATTAAAAAATCAAAATTCAATTTTTTTTTAATTAATTAAAATTAAAAATGGCATATACCTTTGCCGGAAGTAGCGACGGTTTTGTCAACGGCCAATGGTCCGCCGGAATATTCGCTATTGAAATTTCCGGCGACGGAGATCCGGATAGGATTGCCGTCAACGTTAACCTGGTTTGCCGGAATTTCTTCACGGTGATTCTTGACCATTGCTATCTGTAAGTTGTTCTTGAGGAAGGTGTGAGTCCGGCCGGGGAAGAGGCGGCCGATGGCTTTCCAGTCGCCGCCGTGGGCGGCGTGCGCCGCCAGCAGCCGGTCCGTCTCGGCGGCGGTGAACGGCTGCCGGTTGAACCGGGGGTCCAGATGGTTGAACCATCTGTGCTTACAGCTTTCACCTGAAAATTCATATTTTTAAAATCGGTAAAAATATTTATTTTTATTGTATTCAATCGATATAAAAATATTAATTTGATTTTTGTATGTTTTGAAAATTATAGTAAAATTTTTAATAAATTAATTATTTAATATAATATAAATAAATGTTGATATAAATTTTAGATAAAACATAAAACAAATAATCCCTAAGTTTCTATATAAACATATTTATTTTTAGTAAAATAAAAAGTAGACCCTACTACACTATGTAAAAGATTTTTGAGTTTGCCGATAAGTTTTTGTACGTAAAAAATTTTTGTTTTTAAATTTAATTTATTTTATTGATATAAATAAGTACAAGTATAAATGTATTTATAATGTATATGATTAAATTTATTAAAAAAATATCACTATTAAATTACTATTTAAATAAAAAAAAATAAAACTAAACTAAAAAGATATACGATGAATTTGTTCTTTTGTGATTTTTCTGAAAACCATGGATATATAATTTTCATAATTTCATATAAAAATATAATATTTTTATCTTACAAAATATTATTTTGAAATTATTATTAAATTAAAAAAAAATCACCAACTAAACAAACCAGATCTTCCCGGAATTTTTTGAGCGATGATATCCCAGTATTGAGGTCCCATTTGAGAGACGGCTTCTTTCAGCTTCTGGTCTTCCTCGGCCCGCCAAATCCAATGAAGTCCGGGATTGCTACTCCCGGACCTTTGTCCGACAATCTTTTGGTCCCCGTCGCCCTCTAAATATCGGAGTCCGGGGGCTTCGGGAAGATTAAGGATGTTTTTTCTTCGTAAATGAGCCATTTTCAAAATAATTGAGGTCGGAGAAACGATAGATGGATAGATGGAAAGATATACATTACATATATATAGTGTATATAGTGTATATGCATGAACGTATTTATGATTGGCGTATTAATTAACAACTTTTTTTTAGTTGTTAGTTGATTTAATTCGGGCTCGATATTAGAGTCCAACAACTAAAGAAATACGATCTGCGCCGTTCCTTATGTGAACTCGGGGTAGAACGGACGGTCGTGATTCACTTGGAGTTAAAGCCCCGACCTTCCGTACAGAGCATTGTTTGTCGTTTCCACGACTATAAATGTTATAAATATGTTTTATTGATTAGGCTGATTGGATAGTCGCTGTTTGGTTGAACGTTGGTTTTTATTTCATAGCGCATCTGTTTTAATTTATTTGGTTGTTCGTCGTGATTAATTTACCTGTCATAAATACTATGTCCGTCACATCCAAAATACTCCCTCCGTCATGCAAATGTATGCTCATTTGACTGAGCACAGATTTTAATAAAAGTGAGTAACAATTGTTACTTTTTTCTTTTATAGTAAAAAAATGTACAAAAATGTAATAAGTTTTTACTTAAAAAGGTAACGGGAATATTTTTCAATGACAACCTAAAAAGAAAAATGAACATAGATTTGAATGACGGAGGAGTACTATTTTGAGGTTTTGTAGTAAATTAAGAAATAATACTCACTTCATTCATTTAAAAAGTATACATTTACTTTTGGCGCGGATTTTAACAAATAATAATATTTTAATTATAGTGGTTAAAAATAGTTGAAAGACAATTTTGCCTTATTTTTTTATGGTAAAATAGAGATAATTTGCAGAAAATAGTGAGGTTCATAGCTATTAAAAAAAAAGATTGATTATTTTGTAATTTGACAACTCAAAATAAAAATGTGTATACTTTATGAGTGGACATAATTAGTAGTATTTTATTAGTTAGTGGAAGTGTGTAAGAAGTTGGACATTTTTACCCATTAACTTTATATACAAAGTAGATGTATATATAATGATATGTTTGTAAATTAAGTAAAAAGTAAATGTAATTTTCGTAATAGTGTACAACTTTGTTCTCCCAACATTAATTTTCAACCGCGATTCAAAAAAAATAATAATGTAAAATATAAAATATTTTTTATAAAAATAAAAAGTCACAAAATTTTAAATATTTATTTAAAAAATTCAAAAAATAAAATATTCAATTTAAAATAATATTCCTCTGTCCCAATTCAATGGAGCATTTTGTGGTTTTATAGCATATTAATTAAAAAATAATACTAGTATTTTATTGGTCAGTGGAAATGTGTAAGAGTTTTTGACATTTTTGCCATTTGACTTTAAGTATAAATTAATTTTATATTTAATGAGATGTTTTGTAATTTTAATAAAAGTTAAGGGTATTTTGGTATTAATATATGATTACTTTTTCAAAAATAGGAAATAGATACTTTGAAGTCCATACGAAAATAGTAAAAAAAGTACTTTGAATTATGACGGTGGAAGTATATTTTATATCTTTTTTACACAATTTTTCTGGCCACAAAAAAAAAAAAAAATAATCAATCTAAACACATTGGGTAAACGGAGTTATTATTACATTTACTAAAGAGGTATTTTAAGTAACACAGATACAAATGGTAGACAAAGTACTTTGAATTAAGACAGGGACATTAATTTTTTATATAATTCAATGTATCTATTGCAACATTATTTAAAAAATTTTTAAAAATAAATTATGATTTAAAATTGATTTGAAATAAATTATTAATTGAAATTTTGTTTAAATAATATTTTATTTATTATTTTTTGAGACGAAATAATGTATTTTTATAAAAAAAAAAAACTTTATTGAATGAATAATATTATTGAATGAATATTTTTGTGTTCAAATTTTCTCACATATAAATTGAGAAAAATAAATATTCCAACAAAATGTATTAAAGTATATACTTGAAACAAATTTGACATTAAATATCATTTCTTTAAAGCAATTTTATACTTCTTCCATCCCATTCGAATGCATCATTTGGAGTTTTATAGTGAATGTATATAAGAAATTTTAACATTTTCACAATTTGACTTTATTATAAAGTAATTATATATATAATGATATGTTTGTAAGTTAAATAAAATTAAACGTATTTTTGGTATTAATATATAATTATTTTTACTAAAATAGAAAATATATATTTTTTAGTGGACAGACAAAAATGATAAAAATAATACTTTGAATTGAGACAAAAATAGTATTTTCTTAGTATAAATTTTATTAGTAACTAATGGAATTTGATATTTTACACTCTCTCCATCCTTAAAATCATGCAAAATTTTTAAAGATTGTTTCTTCGCATAACAACCGACACTTATATTTAACTTCTAGTCATTCTCAAATGGCTTTTGAGATTGCGGCATATTAAACTTTGTTTTTTCTCTTTTAGAGAAAGATAGAGTCTATGGTGCATGCCCATATGTTATTTAACAACTATTGGAATTCTAAAGATACGTACATTTACGGGAGCAGACTATTAAGTTTGATCGATGTTATTTGTTTTATTTAACTAATATATCAACAACCAAAACTTATCAAATAGAATGTGTTCACAATATTAAAACCCAATAAGGTGCTAGAAATTAAACTAAGAATGACAAACAAATATAAGCTAAAAACAAGAATTAAGCTCTTGTTTCACTCAAAAGGACGATGATGACCGACAACCAATAGTTCCTTCTCTGGCGAGTTGACCCAAGCAGTGGCACACCGTAGCAAGGCAACGGACATCGGCGGCTCCCTCTTCCGGCGGTGACTTTTTCAGCAAACTTTTTTCTCTGGCGATTCCCAAGCAACTCGGAAAAAACAATCGGGGAAACTATTTTAACGGCTCAGTCTACAACCTAAAGACTCATTTAGGGACTAACCCAACCCTCTCCAAGCAAAACCTCAAACCAACGGACTCGATCTTAGAACCCTAACTCTGATCGATCGATTTCTCCAAGAACCTCACGGAGCACACGAAAAGGAACAACTTACCAGAAGGAATAGCACGAAAACAAGGCGAAGAGATCAAAACCCCCAAAACTCACCAGAAATCGCGAGGACGAAGAAGATGGAAAAACCAGAGAGAAAACTTGAACGAACCGCGATATCATCTGAACTGAATGAGAAGGAAAGAGGGAGTTATAAGGCGCGGGTCAGGTCGGGCCTTAGAATCGGGCCGGGTTAAAGGGTTTAGATTGCGGGTCGGGTTTGTATAATGGGTTGGGCCAAAATATCAACACTCTCCACCATTTTGGACAAATCATTTACCAATGGTTGTTCCCGTTGGGATCTATTACAACCTAGTAACCCTTTTCGCCTAATCAAATCGCATGACACAATAAACCTACACTCATAACAAATATTAAGTAAACCTTGTATTCATAAGCAAACATTAGTCTGCATAAATTAATAGTTCATTAAAAAAAGAGACAACTCAATAAACCTACATTTTTTTAAAAAAATTTAATTTAATTTTTTTTTGAAAACTTTTTTAATTTTTACAAAAAAGACAGAAATAGATATATATTTTTTTAAAAAAATAATCCATGTGTCCGCCAGGTGTCGCTGACTTGGCGGACATGTGTCATTCGGCGAGCCACGCAGGTGTCACGTAGGTATCTCCGGCGCCGAATGACTAAAATTGCAAAATTTTTCATTTACGAAACTAGTTTGCAATAACTTCCACTTACATGACTAAAATGATAAAAGGTCCAGTTACGAAATTTATCCTATATTTTAATGACAATCGATGATATTTTAAGTTAAATGACAAATTTCTCTGTGTAAATTTATTTATAATACAATGATATTTAAATAAATAATGATAGAATAATGGAATAGATAATTAATAATAAAAAGTATAACTCTTATAAATGGACAATAAAAAAACAAAAATATAACTCTAGACTGGGGAAGTACTATTTAAAATTAAATTTAAATATAAATTTTAAATTTTCATCCAAATGCACCCTTTTAGCTGATGTTGGGCCTATTATTTCATTATTATTATTATTTATTTATTTATATATTTTTATTTATTATTATTATTATTTTTTTTATTTTTTCAGTTATGGGCTGGGCTGTATAGGAGCCTCATGCTTTAGGTATGTTTGTTGATACACAAACTTATTTATTTTTTTAGTTTTTTTATCTGTCCTGTAAATTTACCTTTATACTGTATTTAAAAAAATAAAAAATTAATATTTAGTTATTGTCTTTCTTTCAATAATTATCTACAATAAATATTATTATATTATCTCTTTATTTAATATTATTATACTCTCTTCGTCCCATAAATATAGTTTTAATTGGGTTATGCACGAAATTTAAGGAATATTGATATTATATTGGTAGTTGGTAAAACGTATGGATAAAAGATTTTTTTACCTTTGTGAATGTATTAGTGTAAAAAATAATGATAATTGTGTAGTAAAAATGAAAAAGTAGGAGTAATTTTTTGGTAATATAGTTATTTATGGAAATAAGACTATTGTTTTGGGACGAACAAAAATGGTAAACAAGACTATTGTATTAGAACGGAGGGAATATTATATATAGATTTTATGCTAATTTGGTCAAATTAATATATATAATAAAGGTATACAATATATACTTTTACATATTACATTATACTTCCTCCGTCCCATAACAAAGTATTCATTTTTCCATTTTAGTCCGTCTCATAACAAAGTATTCATTTTTCTATTTTAGTCTGTCTCATAATAAAGTATCAATTTTTTTTTAGTAACTGTACTATTTACCTAACATTACAAATATCCTTACAACTTACAATATATTACACAAATGTCATTACATTTATATCACACCATACTAATAAGGTTATTTTAGTTATTTCTATTTTATTCCTACTATATCACAGTATAATACTAATATTTCTAAAACTATGTCAAAAAAATAAATAAATATTTAATTATAGGACAGAAAGAGTATATTA